GGGGTTGTCTATATGGAGTGGTAGAGGGTTGTCTGTACGAAGGTGTTGTCTATATGAAGTGGTTAAAGTTACCTTTATGAAGGGGTTATCTATAACAAGTTGTTGGGAGTTCTCTTTTTTGAGGGGTTGTCTATATTAAGCGTTTGGGGGTTGCCTTTATGATAGGGTTGTCTATATGACTATTTGAATAGGTCGTTTTCTTGTGTACATTGAGTAGTTGTTGTGGTTGCCTGCGTGAATGGTCTCTTAACTTACATTGGTTGATTTTTGCTTTAATAAATACAACTCTCTCTACGATCAGTTATGCTAATACATTTGTGTTTTAAAACTACATTGCGCAAATCGTTTCGAATTACGGAGAAGAAGCTAGACAAAATCCTGTGTTTTAAAAAAAAAGGTCCTAATACCAGATGAAAGAGGCTAAATCCGCATAAACAACGGCTCGGACTGTTTAAATTCTCAAATATTGATCCCACAATTTTTCCTGAATGGTGGGATTTAGTTTCCATCGTAATTTAGCCTTTTCCGTCGAGTTATGGAACTTCGTTTATGAAAGGTGTCCGTTATTACCTCCCCTTAACTAACTCGACCGGTTTTGTTTTCCTTTTAAGTCTGGGCTAAAATATCCGGTGCATTTAAAAGTATCACATTCAGGCTGGGCTTTGTTCTTTGTTATTTGAAACGTTTTCTCCGCTTTCGTTTCTTTGTTGTCTGACTTGGTCAAAACAGACCTAAAGACTCACCACACCAGCTCTCGTGTCCTCGCCTCATTAAATATCCATCACCCCTACAACATTGGACTAGCCCAGTCGTAATGAAGCCTTCTTCAAGAGGTTTCCACGTCATGGATGAAACCACTTGGGTTTAAGAGGGTGGTGGAGGTAAACAACTACTAGTTAGATTGAGATGATTTCAAACCAAACATGTTTGTTTGTATCATATATTACTAAAACTCATATAGACAGGTGTACATAGTAACAAAAATAAGCAGCCAGCTCATCATATCAGATATGTCAATAGGCCTATATAAACTGCCACTTATGCCAGCCAGCATATTACATCTACCAGCTTTGAAGACGACATGAGCAAGCCATTGACGATGGACAGCTATAAAAGTCCGCAAGCTAAAGAAATCAGCCAACTATAAAGATCAGCTAGCTAAAGACATCAACGAGCCATAAGGTCAGTCAGCTAAATCTATGAGCCAGCTAAATCTACGAGCCAGCCATAAAGGACAGTCATCTAAAGACATCAACCAGCCATAAGGTCAACCAGCTAAAGACATCAACCAGCCATAAATGTCAACCAGCTAAATGTATGAGCCAGCAAATGTCGAATGTCTTTGATGCTGTTTGATATTCCATCCTGTCCTGAAACCAGACTTGCCGGCAATTTTCCTTTGGTGTTCGAGAATCTAAAGTTAATTGCCGGTATTATTCTCTATCTCTGGTTACGTTGGGTGTAATCATACCCATGGAAACCTTCTGGTGAGAACCCGTCTCACCTTTATCCCACATCACCATGGAAACCTTCTAGTAAGAACCTGTCTCACCTTTATACCATATCATCACCATGGAAACCGTCCAGTAAGAACCTGTCTCACCTTTATACTACATCACCATGGAAACCTTCTAGTAAGAACCTGTCTCACCTTTATACCATATCATCACCATGGAAACCGTCCAGCAAGAACCTGTCTCACCTTTATACCATATCATCACCATGGAAACCTTCTGGTGAGAACCCGTCTCACCTTTATACCACATCACCATGGAAACAACCTTCTAGTAAGAACCTGTCTCACCTTTATACTACATCACCATGGAAACCTTCTGGTGAGAAACTGTCTCACCTTTATACTACATCACCATGGAAACCTTTTGGTGAGAAACTGTCTCACCTTTATACCACATCACCATGGAAACCTTCTAGTAAGAACCTGTCTCACCTTTATACCATATCATCACCATGGAAACCGTCCAGCAAGAACCTGTCTCACCTTTATACCATATCATCACCATGGAAACCTTCTAGTAAGAACCTGTCTCACCTTTATACTACATCACCATGGAAACCTTCTGGTGAGAAACTGTCTCACCTTTATACCACATCACCATGGAAACCTTCTAGTAAGAACCTGTCTCACCTTTATACCATATCATCACCATGGAAACCGTCCAGCAAGAACCTGTCTCACCTTTATACCATATCATCACCATGGAAACCGTCCAGCAAGAACCTGTCTCACCTTTATACCATATCATCACCATGGAAACCTTCTGGTGAGAACCCGTCTCACCTTTATACCACATCACCATGGAAACAACCTTCTAGTAAGAACCTGTCTCACCTTTATACTACATCACCATGGAAACCTTTTGGTGAGAAACTGTCTCACCTTTATACCACATCACCATGGAAACCGTCCAGTAAGAACCTGTCTCACCTTTATACCATATCATCACCATGGAAACCGTCCAGTAAGAACCTGTCTCACCTTTATACCATATCATCACCATGGAAACCTTTTGGTGAGACCAGTCTCACCTTTATATCACATCACCATGGAAACCTTCTAGTAAGAACCTGTCTCACCTTTAAACCACATCACCATGGAAACCTTCTGGTAAGAACCCATCTCACTTTTATACCACATCACCATGGAAACAACCTTCGGGTAAGAGCCCGATCCTCCATGTCACGATTACCTAGCGCCATCTCAGCACCCATCAAGCTGCTTGTATAACCGGGGCCGGATGAAATATGGAGCAGCTCTCTGAGTGAATTATTTATTGCCCTCGACATTACCGGCTGATTTTGTTAACTCGGCTCGCTACAAGAAGATGTGGAGTAGTTACCAAGTGGTGTAATGATTGGGTGGGTTGAGTAACGGGGTTTTGATTAGGTGGTTGGGTGTGTGGGCAGGGGAGTTGGGTTGCGTTATGATGGTGTAAGAGGTCTGTTGATTAAATTGTTTGGGGTGAGGGGATGGGGTAGTTCCGGGTGGATTGTGAGAGCACAGCTTTAGAAATTTTCCCGGTTTTATTTATTGTGTGATTGGATTATTTTAATTACAATGAAACCATTTGTCATGCAGTGAAGCCACAGTGTAAGCTTTGTTGAGTAATTGTTTTTAAATTTTCAAATGCGTGGGTTTTAAAACATTAGGTTTAATTTTTTTATTTTTATTTTGAGAATAATCTATACTGTTTGAAAAGCTTAATTCCGAAAGTTTTCTGCGTGCATGAGATTAAATAAATTCAGGGTCTTGAAAGTAAAAAACGTACCCAAATACAAAGTCGATGGCTAAAACTACGCGTCTAAAATTGTTTGAATAGAAATTTTGAACCATGCTAACAACCGTCTCGCGTGGACAACCCAATAGCTGTCACAACCACCAACCCAACAATTGTCATAACCACCAACCCAACAACTGTCACAACCACCAACCCAACAACTGCCACAACCACCAACCCAACAACTGTCACAACCACCAACCCAACAACTGCCACAACCACCAACCCAACTGCCACAACCACCAACCCAACAACTGTCACAACCACCAACCCAACAACAGTCACAACCACCAACCCAACAAATGTCACAACCACCAACCCAACTGTCACAACCACCAACCCAACAACTGCCACAACCACCAACCCAACAAATGTTACAACCACCAACCCAACTGTCACAACCACCAACCCAACTGTCACAACCACCAACCCAACAACTGTCTCAACCACCAACCCAACAACTGTCTCAACCACCAACCCAACAACTGTCTCAACCACCAACCCAACAACTGTCTCAACCACCAACCCAACAACTGTCTCAACCACCAACCCAACAACCGTCTCAACCACCAACCCAACAACTGTCACAACCACCAACCCAACAGCCGTCACAACCACCAACCCAACAACCGTCACAACCACCAACCCAACAACCGTCACAACCACCAACCCAACAACCGTCACAACCACCAACCCAACAAATGTCACAACCACCAACCCAACTGTCACAACCACCAACCCAACAACTGCCACAACCACCAACCCAACAAATGTTACAACCACCAACCCAACTGTCACAACCACCAACCCAACTGTCACAACCACCAACCCAACAACTGTCTCAACCACCAACCCAACAACTGTCTCAACCACCAACCCAACAACTGTCTCAACCACCAACCCAACAACTGTCTCAACCACCAACCCAACAACTGTCTCAACCACCAACCCAACAACTGTCTCAACCACCAACCCAACAACTGTCACAACCACCAACCCAACTACTGTCACAACCACCAACCCAACATCTGCCACAACCACCAACCCAACTGTCACAACCACCAACCCAACAACTATCACAACCACCAACGCCACAACAATCCCACCAATAGCCCGCCTACACCCATGTTGTATTCTCTGTAAATTACAATGCGCACTCTAAACGCTACTACTCAATTACATTTTTTTAAATTCCCTGCATTACACGAGAGGTGCCAAGATAAAAGAGTTGTCTGCTCACTCATACGTTAAGAACCGATGATAGCCCCATTTTTTTCCAGCTCCGCCCATTCTAACTCCACCCCACCCCCACCACACACACCTAACATTCTTTCTTTAAATCGCCTCTCTGTTATTAACTTTCATGATCCTTAATCCCACATTTAAATAACTCTTATATTTTAACCAATTTTTTTTTCAGCACAATTTCACTAAGCCGTATTTTCCGACTTTTTTTTCCAAAAATGTCTGTCGGTGGTAGGGGGGGGGGTCACCTTATAAGCTGCGTGTCTTGCTACTATGGATCGAGTAAAGCCCACATTCTATATTTTAACAGCTATTTTTTTCAGACGATTTTCCCCTTATACCTAACCATCTTTGTTTTTAAGCGATTTAAAGTTAGACTTTCACGTCAAGACCTTAATATATTGACCTTCTTATAGTGACCTTCATGTAATGACGTTCATTATTTAATTCTTCCCACAGGGGCGTCCGTTTCCTGCAGATCCTGCGCATGTTACATGTAGATAGACAGGGTGGAACATGGCGACTACTTGGCTCTGTCATATACCTGCACAGACAGGTAAGTTGTCATATACCTGCAGACAGGTGAGTTGTCTCATATACCTGTACGGACAGGTGAGTTGTCATATACCTTCACAGACAGGTGAGTTGTCTCATATACCTGCACAGACAGGTAAGTTGTCATATACCTGCACAGACAGGTGAGTTGTCATATACCTGCAGACAGGTGAGTTGTCATATACCTTCACAGACAGGTGAGTTGTCATATACCTGCACAGACAGGTGAGTTGTCATATACCTGCACAGACAGGTAAGTTGTCATATACCTTCACAGACAGGTGAGTTGTCATATACCTGTACTCTCATATACCTGCACAGACAGGTGAGTTGTCATATACCTTCACAGACAGGTGAGTTGTCATATACCTGTACTCTCATATACCTGCACAGACAGGTGAGTTGTCATATACCTTCACAGACAGGTGAGTTGTCATATACCTGCACAGACAGGTAAGTTGTCATATACCTGCAGACAGGTGAGTTGTCTCATATACCTGTACGGACAGGTGAGTTGTCATATACCTTCACAGACAGGTGAGTTGTCTCATATACCTGCACAGACAGGTAAGTTGTCATATACCTGCACAGACAGGTGAGTTGTCATATACCTGCAGACAGGTGAGTTGTCATATACCTTCACAGACAGGTGAGTTGTCATATACCTGCACAGACAGGTGAGTTGTCATATACCTGCACAGACAGGTAAGTTGTCATATACCTTCACAGACAGGTGAGTTGTCATATACCTGTACTCTCATATACCTGCACAGACAGGTGAGTTGTCATATACCTTCACAGACAGGTGAGTTGTCATATACCTGTACTCTCATATACCTGCACAGACAGGTGAGTTGTCATATACCTTCACAGACAGGTGAGTTGTCATATACCTGCACAGACAGGTGAGTTGTCATATACCTGCACAGACAGGTGAGTTGTCATATACCTGTACGGACAGGTGAGTTGTCTCATATACCTGTACTCTCATATACCTTCACAGACAGGTAAGTTGTCATATACCTGCACAGACAGGTGAGTTGTCATATACCTGCACAGACAGGTGAGTTGTCATATACCTTCACAGACAGGTGAGTTGTCTCATATACCTTCACAGACAGGTGAGTTGTCATATACCTGCACAGACAGGTGAGTTGTCATATACCTGCACAGACAGGTGAGTTGTCTCATATACCTGCACAGACAGGTGAGTTGTCATATACCTGCACAGACAGGTGAGTTGTCTCATATACCTGCACAGACAGGTGAGTTGTCATATACCTGCACAGACAGGTGAGTTGTCTCATATACCTGCACAGACAGGTGAGTTGTCTCATATACCAGTACTCTCATATACCTTCACTGACAGGTAAGTTGTCATATACCTTCACAGACAGGTGAGTTGTCATATACCTGTACGGACAGGTGAGTTGTCTCATATACCTGCACAGACAGGTGAGTTGTCTCATACACCTTCACAGACAGGTGAGTTGTCTCATATACCTTCACAGACAGGTGAGTTGTCTCATACACCTTCACAGACAGGTGAGTTGTCATATACCTGCACAGACAGGTGAGTTGTCTCATATACCTGCACAGACAGGTGAGTTGTCTCAAATACCTGTACTCTCATATACCTTCACAGACAGGTGAGTTGTCATATACCTTCACAGACAGGTGAGTTGTCTCATATACCTGTACAGACAGGTGAGTTGTCTCATATACCTGCACAGACAGGTGAGTTGTCTCATATACCTGTACTCTCATATACCTTCACAGACAGGTGAGTTGTCATATACCTGCACAGACAGGTGAGTTGTCATATACCTTCACAGACAGGTGAGTTGTCATATACCTGCACAGACAGGTGAGTTGTCATATACCTTCACAGACAGGTGAGGTGTCATATACCTGCACAGACAGGTGAGTTGTCATATACCTGCACAGACAGGTGAGTTGTCATATACCTGCACAGACAGGTGAGTTGTCTCATATACCTGCACAGACAGGTGAGTTGTCTCATATACCTGTACAGACAGGTGAGTTGTCATATACCTGCACAGACAGGTGAGTTGTCTCATATACCTGTACTCTCATATACCTTCACAGACAGGTAAGTTGTCATATACCTGTACAGACAGGTGAGTTGTCTCATATACCTGCACAGACAGGTGAGTTGTCTCATACACCTTCACAGACAGGTGAGTTGTCATATACCTGTACGGACAGGTGAGTTGTCATATACCTGCACAGACAGGTGAGTTGTCATATACCTGCACAGACAGGTGAGTTGTCATATACCTGCACAGACAGGTGAGTTGTCATATACCTTCACAGACAGGTGAGTTGTCTCATATACCTTCACAGACAGGTGAGTTGTCTCATATACCTGCACAGACAGGTGAGTTGTCATATACCTGCACAGACAGGTGAGTTGTCTCATATACCTGCACAGACAGGTGAGTTGTCTCAAATACCTGTACTCTCATATACCTTCACAGACAGGTGAGTTGTCTCATATACCTGCACAGACAGGTGAGTTGTCATATACCTGCACAGACAGGTGAGTTGTCTCATATACCTGCACAGACAGGTGAGTTGTCTCAAATACCTGTACTCTCATATACCTTCACAGACAGGTGAGTTGTCTCATATACCTGTACAGACAGGTGAGTTGTCTCATATACCTGCACAGACAGGTGAGTTGTCTCATATACCTGTACTCTCATATACCTTCACAGACAGGTGAGTTGTCATATACCTTCACAGACAGGTGAGTTGTCATATACCTGCACAGACAGGTGAGTTGTCATATACCTGCACAGACAGGTGAGTTGTCATATACCTGCACAGACAGGTGAGTTGTCATATACCTGCACAGACAGGTGAGTTGTCATATACCTTCACAGACAGGTGAGTTGTCATATACCTGCACAGACAGGTGAGTTGTCATATACCTGCACAGACAGGTGAGTTGTCATATACCTTCACAGACAGGTGAGTTGTCATATACCTGTACTCTCATATACCTGCACAGACAGGTGAGTTGTCATATACCTTCACAGACAGGTGAGTTGTCATATACCTGTACTCTCATATACCTGCACAGACAGGTGAGTTGTCATATACCTGCACAGACAGGTGAGTTGTCTCATATACCTGCACAGACAGGTGAGTTGTCTCATATACCTGTACTCTCATATACCTTCACTGACAGGTAAGTTGTCATATACCTTCACAGACAGGTGAGTTGTCATATACCTGTACGGACAGGTGAGTTGTCTCATATACCTGCACAGACAGGTGAGTTGTCTCATACACCTTCACAGACAGGTGAGTTGTCTCATATACCTTCACAGACAGGTGAGTTGTCTCATACACCTTCACAGACAGGTGAGTTGTCATATACCTGCACAGACAGGTGAGTTGTCTCATATACCTGCACAGACAGGTGAGTTGTCTCAAATACCTGTACTCTCATATACCTTCACAGACAGGTGAGTTGTCTCATATACCTGTACAGACAGGTGAGTTGTCTCATATACCTGCACAGACAGGTGAGTTGTCATATACCTGCACAGACAGGTGAGTTGTCTCATATACCTGCACAGACAGGTGAGTTGTCTCAAATACCTGTACTCTCATATACCTTCACAGACAGGTGAGTTGTCTCATATACCTGCACAGACAGGTGAGTTGTCATATACCTGTACGGACAGGTGAGTTGTCTCATATACCTGCACAGACAGGTGAGTTGTCTCATACACCTTCACAGACAGGTGAGTTGTCATATACCTGTACGGACAGGTGAGTTGTCTCATATACCTGCACAGACAGGTGAGTTGTCTCATACACCTTCACAGACAGGTGAGTTGTCTCATATACCTTCACAGACAGGTGAGTTGTCTCATATACCTGCACAGACAGGTGAGTTGTCATATACCTGCACAGACAGGTGAGTTGTCTCATATACCTGCACAGACAGGTGAGTTGTCTCAAATACCTGTACTCTCATATACCTTCACAGACAGGTGAGTTGTCTCATATACCTGTACAGACAGGTGAGTTGTCTCATATACCTGAACAGACAGGTGAGTTGTCTCATATACCTGTACTCTCATATACCTTCACAGACAGGTGAGTTGTCATATACCTTCACAGACAGGTGAGTTGTCATATACCTGCACAGACAGGTGAGTTGTCATATACCTGCACAGACAGGTGAGTTGTCATATACCTGCACAGACAGGTGAGTTGTCATATACCTGCACAGACAGGTGAGTTGTCATATACCTTCACAGACAGGTGAGTTGTCATATACCTGCACAGACAGGTGAGTTGTCATATACCTGCACAGACAGGTGAGTTGTCATATACCTGTACGGACAGGTGAGTTGTCTCATATACCTGTACTCTCATATACCTTCACAGACAGGTAAGTTGTCATATACCTGCAGACAGGTGAGTTGTCATATACCTTCACAGACAGGTGAGTTGTCATATACCTGCACAGACAGGTGAGTTGTCATATACCTTCACAGACAGGTGAGTTGTCATATACCTTCACAGACAGGTGAGTTGTCATATACCTGCACAAACAGGTAAGTTGTCATATACCTTCACAGACAGGTGAGTTGTCATATACCTGTACTCTCATATACCTTCACAGACAGGTGAGTTGTCATATACCTGCACAGACAGGTGAGTTGTCATATACCTGCACAGACAGGTGAGTTGTCATATACCTGTACGGACAGGTGAGTTGTCTCATATACCTGTACTCTCATATACCTTCACAGACAGGTAAGTTGTCATATACCTGCAGACAGGTGAGTTGTCATATACCTTCACAGACAGGTGAGTTGTCATATACCTGCACAGACAGGTGAGTTGTCATATACCTTCACAGACAGGTGAGTTGTCATATACCTTCACAGACAGGTGAGTTGTCATATACCTGCACAGACAGGTAAGTTGTCATATACCTTCACAGACAGGTGAGTTGTCATATACCTGTACTCTCATATACCTTCACAGACAGGTGAGTTGTCATATACCTGCACAGACAGGTGAGTTGTCATATACCTTCACAGACAGGTGAGTTGTCATATACCTGCACAGACAGGTGAGTTGTCATATACCTGCACAGACAGGTGAGTTGTCTCATATACCTGCACAGACAGGTGAGTTGTCTCATATACCTGCACAGACAGGTGAGTCTAGTTATCTCATATACCTGCCTACGCATCTAAATCTCGCTGTGAACTGTGACATTTAGATCGTGAACCTTTTCGACAATAGCTAATCAAATAAATGAATCTATATGCGTCAAATATGTGGTCTGTTTTTATTTGTGTAGACTCGCTGCTCAGTAGGTGCATAAGGTTAGTATAAACAAAAACTTTTAAAATGCTTAACAAATACACACACACACGCGTGCAAACACACACACACACACGATCGCACACACACCTTAAACCTACATGTATTGACATAGATGCTGGACTACATTTGAAAACAAAAGCAAGGGTCACACGTCATTACTCTCACATCTTGCTCATTTCCTTTTTATTTGGATATGTTAATGAGCACGCGACAGATTGATGCACGTGCCCACATCATGTTCGTGTGCACGTTTCTCGTGCCCCGCATTTTTTTTTAACTAACCCCCCCCCCCCCACCCACGCCCCAACCCCCACCCCACGACAATAACAACGGGCAGAAGCAGGTTTGTCTTCTGGTACAACGGAAATGTAATGAAGATTTGTTTCCCTTGATTTAATCTCATCATCTTTGTTACCCTGGCAACCGTTTCACACCCCATTTCGTGTGTTCTCCTTTTATTATTTCACCCAAAAAAAAAAAACCCACCCCAAAAAAAAATAATTCTTTCGCCCAAATTGAACTAATTCCTTAATGTTTCATCTAACTTGATTAGCTGTGTGGGGAGGGGAGGGGGGGGGCTGGTTTTGTTCCACTTATCCTAAGACAATGGGGGGGGGGGATGGAATAATGAATGACCTGATCATGCGATGGCTTCCGTGATGGAACAGCCACTCAAAGAGCTCATGTACTCGATGTTTTTCAATGGAATCTGTATTTCTGATGAATATTGTATCATCCGCTTTTTTCATTTCCCCAACATTTTGTAGTGCAACTCAACTCAAGCACATGTGATATGGCTTTGTGAGGTTGATTTAGCTGCTAAATTTTTAAACGACTAGATTTTTTTAAAAACTATTATGAAATCTAGTAAATTGCGAAAAAAATATTTAGCATGTAACTTTCATCTTTAAAAAATAATGGTTTTAATCAGAATAGAATTCACATTGAATTTTATTTTCGTATTTACTTCTAACCCGAAAGTCGCGAGTTCGGATCCCGGGTTCGAAACCATGGGGCATCCCCGTGTCCACCTAGTTCTGGTGGGTACCTACTCGCGTTAGAGAAAAAAAAAAGGCAACAGAGCATAGAACTTACAACACTATCGCCTAATATCTCGAAGTAACGGTAACAGGTTTAACTCTACTTCACCTGCTCTATTGACCGTTAGGTCTGATACAGCTACAGCTACCTCCTCCCTCATTTCCACCTGGAGTAACGACCCTCCCTTTATTGAGAAACCTCCCCCCCCCCCCCCCAACGTGGGGCAATGTCCTGTCTGTTCCTCTCAAAATATTTAAACCCACGAGACAAGGCGAAATCCGATGCCATTCGTATGCGCGATAAGACAATATTTTGCTCTCGGTCAAATTTCACAGCAATTTACAACATCGACTAAAGCGAGGCTCACATCCGTGGGTGGTTGAGGTCAGAGGAAGTCGTGGGTGATGTAAAATTGAGGGATCTTCAAAGCCGGCCCAATCGTAAGACCGTATGGATTTATAGGCGAAATTGGATGGCTCGCGGCAGACAGGAAATGCTTCAGGCTTAACAGAAGAAAAATATGGCTGCCGTCGGCCGGGCTGGGGACTACACGATTGATGGGAACTTAACACAATATCTGACCGTGCGTTAGAGCAGTCTTGGTTTTTGTACTGCTATGCTGGGAAGGATTGGGTTTTCAAGCCCAGTGGGCGTTGGCGACTGGCTAGTTGGATTCTTATGTGCACTTGACAAAATGACAATGGTGAAAGAACACTTCAAGAATATTCTTTCAATCAAATATTATAACAAAACATTCATGATGATGACCCCCTTTACTATTTAAATAATCATATTGATTTAGACCTATCTATACCAGGGGCGTAGCGAGGCGAGGGGGGGGGGGCGGGGGGTGCGGACCGCACCGGGTGACACCATTTAGGGGGGTGACACCAAGGCAAAAAATAGCAAAATATATAGAGAAAAACTCGAGGGGGGGGGGGTGCAAATCGAAAGTTTGAGGGGGGGGTGCAAATCGAAAACTCGAGGGGGGGGGTGCAAATCGAAAACTTGAAACTTTGTCCCTGGGAAGGGTCTCTATGCCTCTGGGGGGGTGACACCATTAAGTGCCGCACCGGGTGACACCCGACCTCGCTACGCCACTGATCTATACATTTACATGGGGAGGGGAGAAGGTTTGCTGACCTAGACTCCAGACCTTTCTGATATAGGTTCGTTAATCGTTTTGAGCTCTATAATTCCATAATAATTCTTTAGATAAAACAAAATTCTACTACTACATATGATAACAAAAGAAATTTAATTAAATTAAAGTTTAAAGATTAAGTTTTAAAATAAAAATGTAGGGTTTCGTGTGTGGATGTAATCGCTAGCAGTCTAAAATGTTGTGTTTGTTGTCTCCCTTCTCCAGGAGCTGATAACAACATTGTACATAGGATTTCTCGGCCTGATCTTCTCGTCTTACTTTGTTTACCTGGCAGAGAGAGATAACGGAAGAAAAGACTTCAGTAGCTATGCAGATGCTTTGTGGTGGGGAGTGGTGAGTGGCGGTTTGTGTTAGGGTTAGGTCAAGTTTTGACCTCTAATGTAATGAGGTGTGGTTGGTGGTTTTGTTACAAGCTTTTATTTTTAGTTAGTGTTTGGTCGACTTTTGCTTGCTGGTGTAGTAAGAAGAGGTTGGCGATTTTGATTTTGTTTTTAGTTAGGGTTAGGTCAGTGGAGAATGGATGACAGTGTTTCTTCCAGAAATTTTTCGGGAGAAGGGGGGGAGGCTAAAATTTCCGAGGGGAGGGGAGCGAACGATGTTAAAAATGTTAAAAGAATATATTTTCTATATAAGTTTCGGGGGTGGGGGCAGAGCCTCCCCGAAGAGATACCTAGAGAAATTCTGATGATTGGTGGGTTGGTTTTTTTAATTCACCATCCACCTACTCCTCAGATTACTGTGATCTAATCCACCCATCCACCTACTCCTCAGATTACTGTGATCTAATCCACCCATCCACGTACTCCTCAGATTACTGTGATCTAATCCACCCATCCAGCTACTCCTCAGATTACTGTGATCTAATCCACCCATCCACCTACTCTTCAGATTACTGTGATCTAATCCACCCATCCACCTACTCCACAGATTACTGTGATGACCATTGGCTATGGAGACAAGGTGCCACAAACTTGGATGGGGAAAATTGTAGCCTCATGCTTTGCAGTCTTCGCCATTTCTTTCTTTGCCTTACCTGCTGTAAGTTACTTCTTTGGCATTATGACGTTTGAGTTATGCCCCTTATTGTATGAATTACATCCCTTACTGCAGGGATATTATAGTTATGCCCCTAACTGTGTGATTTTTATAATTATTCTCCTTACCTTATGGATATTAATGTTATGCTCCTAAATGTAGGGATTTAAGAGTTATGGCAAGGAAATTAGAGATATGCCCCTTACTGTTTTATGATGGTATGATATTGTGCTTGTTACTACAGGGTATCCTAGGCTCAGGATTTGCTCTAAAAGTGCAGCAGAAACAGAGACAGAAACATTTTAACAGACAGATTCCAGCAGCTGCCACACTGATACAGGTAGTTTAAATCACATCCTTGTTGTCTCACCTCTTGATTACCTTTTGTGTCACCGTCTCACTCACCTCACTTAGATGTTGTATCAACATCTGTCTATTATGTTGTATCACATCTTGATCACTTTTTGTATTACTGTCGCCTCCTCCTGCTGTGTCACCATCTCTTATTCCTGTTGTGTCACCATCTCCTTCTTCTGTTGTGTCACCATCTCCTGTTCCTGTTGTGTCACCATCTCCTGTTCCTGTTGTGTCACCATCTCCTGTTCCTGTTATGTCATCATCTCTTATTCCTGCTATGTCACCATCTCCTGTTCCTGTTGTGTCCTCATCTCCTTCTTCTGTTATGTCATCATCTCTTATTCCTGCTATGTCACCATCTCTTATTCCTGTTGTGTCACCATCTCACTATCCTGTTGTATCACTTTTCCTGTTGTGTCACCATCTCCTGTTCCTGTTGTGTCACCATCTCCTGTTCCTGTTGTGTCACCATCTCCTGTTCCTGTTGTGTCACCATCTCCTGTTCCTGTTGTGTCACCATCTCCTGTTCCTGTTGTGTCACCATCTCCTGTTCCTGTTGTGTCCTCATCTCCTTCTTCTGTTATGTCACCATCTCTTATTCCTGTTGTGTCACCATCTCTTATTCCTGTTGTGTCCTCATCTCCTTCTTCTGTTATGTCACCATCTCTTATTCCTGTTGTGTCACCATCTCTTATTCCTGTTATGTCACCATCTCTTATTCCTGTTGTGTCACCATCTCTTATTCCTGTTATGTCACCATCTCACTATCCTGTTGTATCACTTTTCCTGTTGTGTCACAGTCTCATTTACCTCTTTTATCACCATCACACTCTCTTTCTATATCACCATCTCCACCCTCTCACACTATCACTCATTGTAATCTTATTCACGATTTTTTAATACTTTTTAATTTACTAGTATTACCATTCTCTTTTATGATTACAATTCCAACTCACTGTAATTTTAATTAAAGCCATCACACTTAAATATTTTTGTTGTTAACACTTCATTTGATTTAAGCTTTAAATGCTCTGAGTTTTTGTCCTGTAAAATTTCACTGCTGTCATTTTCAAAACTTTTATGGTAAACATTTCAAAATTTCAAAACCTGTTTAAAGTTTTATTTTCAATATTCACTGCCATCCATTTGAAACTCGATCACTGACATTTAAAAATTTCAAAACATGTTTAAAGTTTTATTGGTAAAGTTCATGACAGTCAATTCGAAACTCGATCACTGACATTTAAAAATTTCAAAGCCTGTTTTAAGTTTTATTTTCAATATTCATTGTTGTCCATTTGAAGCTCCATCACTGACATTTTAAAATTTCAGTGCTTATGGCGATGCCATGCAGCGGAACCACATTCCAATTCTGAGGCGACCTGGAGGATCCACATTCACGACCCATCCAACGAGGAGACTGTGTTTGCTAGGATGGCGAGAAGGGCTAGCCTGTCCCTGCGCAAGCGGAGGATGTCTCGTCTGGACTCCACCAGTACAGTGCCCAACCACCTGTACAGGGAGTCCATGTCTTCTTCAATGTCTTATGCTGATGATAGGCTTGGTAATACTGGGGTGTTGTTTTGTTTGTTTTTTTTTTGTGTTTTTTTTTAAATATTAGACTCTATTCACCATTATATTTATCAAGACAGTATGAAATTGTTTTACTTTATAAAGCAAATATTTTAATGAAAAAAAAACAAAAGGTTTCAATGTTGTAATGTATAAAGATATAGACTCTATATATATATATTATAAATGATAAAAATCACATCTAGGGTTGTAATATCATACAGCATCACTATATGTATTTTAATACATATTATTCCACCAATACATGGGACGGAGTGGTCTAGCGGTAGAGAGCTGGACCTCTAACCCGTAAGTCTCAAGTTCAAATCTGGGTTCAATTCAGTAGATGGGTACCTAACTCACGTTGGGGAAAGTAAAGGCGGCTGGGCATAGTGCTGATCACACTTTCTCTTCATATACCGAGGTCACAGAAACAAGTGAACTCTAGTTCACTTGCCCTATAGACCGACAGGTTTGAAAGAGGAACTTTACTTTTACTTTTATTCCACCAAAATAGTTGACATTACACATTATATTAGATATTTAAATAATCTTTTACTTTCTATCTTTAGCCAAAATGTTAAAAAAACAGCATGTATAAAGCTACATGTTTAAGTTAATAATTTGTCACTAACAATAACATGATTTGTTATTTTAACTCCCTGACAAACTTGATTATGTAGGATCAATATTAACCCAGACTTGATAACTTTTTAACATTTATGATCTTGTCAAATCAATAAAAACTTGTATCTTAACACTGTTTTTTTTTTAAACTTTAGGATCAATAACACCTAAACCTCATAGGAAAGACAGCCATCGAACAAGTATATGCGTGGGGGACAATGCTAATGAAGACACTGATTACGATCAGGAAGAACCTGAAAAAGTCCAACAGTAATTAAATTTCTTTTACGTGCTTCTGTGTAAATGTATGAAAATATACTGTTTACTGACAAAATATATTGACTATTGACTGCCAATGTCATTAAGACATGACAGTAACTCCTTCATACACTTTGTAACTGATCTGATAGGCTTACAGTACCTTCAACACATATTGATTATGAAATCTGCTTAATGAGTGGGCTATGTACATTTAATCTTCTTTCTCTGCACTATCTTGTAATTACCAATTAGTTTAGCTTCGCTGGAGAGTTCTGCTTAGATTTGCTACACATATTCTTAAATATTTTTATTTTGTATTCAAGATTGCTTTATATTTTTAAAAATTACTCATGTTATTTGCATAGCCATTGATTTAAGCTTAAAATTGTTTCAATGAATTTAAAACAGTAAGAATAATTTGAAAAAAAATGGATAATGTATCTGTAATAAATTCTTTAAAATATTAAAGCTTATCATTCATCTTTAGGTCACTTCTGTAGATTCCTTCTTTCATATAAAGCTTTCTATGTAAATAAAAAGAAAGACCTATTTATTTTGACAGAAACCATCGGCAATCTAAAATTATTCATTGACCAAAAAAAACCATTGTTGTTATTCACTAATTTTTTTTATGTTTATTAAAATGTGTTCGACCACATTTGAATGACAGCAAAAAAACAATTGTTTACATTGAACTCCATAGACTAACAGAACCACACAAAACAGCCATAAGAGTCATCAGGAAAATTAAATATTTTGTTTCCAGGAGAAAATTCCAAGTAAGTTTTTCATCAACCCCACCACTATGTGTTACATTCTGAGAAAAAAAAAATTAACTAGGAATAAAAAAAAAAAGAATAATTTAAGTGTGCACTTTCTTAATGGGTTAAAAAGAAAGTGCAAATTGCTTTCAGCATGAAATATTGATTGAAAAATAGAATTCGTAAAATTCGATTTTTTTAAGGATAAAGTTTGAGTTGTCTGACCTAGTTACTCTTAATGTAAACACGAGTGAGCTAGACATTGTAAACATTGAAGAATGATGTATGTCAGCTGATAGAACTAGAGAACAGTCTCACAAAAGCTAAAACTTCAATGATTTATATGTTGCTAAAAATCTTCTTCTTACTCTCACAAAGCCAGAAACCCTTATATCTCAATGATGTTTTTACACTAGCAAGCAAGAAAACCTTATATCTCAATGGTATTTTATTCTAGCTAGCCAGAAAACCTTATATTTCAATGATGTTTTTACTCTAGTTAGCTAGAAAAGCTAATTTCTCAATGATGTTTTTTTTTTCTAGCAAGCCAGAAAACCTTATGATGTCAGGGATGTTATAGAGCAATACTCTCAAGGTCATCTAAATATGATGGTCAGAATTAAAGAGTTGCAGAGGAGGTTAGTTGATTTAAATTTCCCTTTTGTTTCACACATTTTTTTAAAAAATTGGAATACTGTATAAATTACCTCCCTTGCTCACAAAAAATAAAGCTTAAGCAGCTCTGTAAAGAAGCTTAATTTCTACTTAAGTTTTTAATTACCTTTTTTTTAATAATTCTGCATGAGATTAATTTTAATCTTTATTATTATGTTGAAATCATGCTCAAATCATAATAAAATGTATTGCTGCAATACAGAAAATCCTTTTTTTAATTACCTTTACAGTTGCTAATTAAGTTCCAAGCTTTTAAATTTTATTGTCATTATCCTAAGTGTAAAATTTTTCAGATGAATTTTATTGTAAGTTCTCGCTATTTAGTCTTGTAGCTAGCAAAGCCATGCTGTAGTTTCCCATTTCACTGCAGCTAATTTGTGTAGCAATTCTCCACCAGAGTTTCTTCCAGGCATCCCCCCACCCCACTTGCATGCCCCCCTCCCCCAGAACATCTAACACCACCACCCCCACACCCCCACACCTCCAAACAAAATACTTTTATCCCACTTGCCTCCCCCCCCCCCCCCGAGAACATCTAACACCATACCCCCACCCCTGTACGAAATAGACTTTATACAGAGAAAATATACTTTAAAAAATTTAGCCCCCTCCCCCTGGAGAAAAATGTCTGAAAGAAACACTGTTCTCCACTTGTAGACTACCTGGCCAGGGAAACCCAGATGATCATTTAACACAAGAACACCCACCTGTTTTTAAAATTCCAAACATAACACATTTTTTTAAAATTCTTTCTAGACTTGATCAAACACTGGGCAAGCCTGGAAGTCTTTATTCAAGCACGGCAAGAGACAGGGAAAAAATGACAATTGGTGCACGGATGGTTCGTGTGGAGACACAAGTAAGCTTACAGCTGATGTGTGGTTAAATAAAATCCATGTGTTTTGTTTTCTTGTAGGATAAATCCTTATTTTTGCTTTATTAATTAGTTTTAACTATATAAGTAAATATATTAGTTTAATTTTTTTACAGTAAAAATATGGAATATAAAAAATATTTGTTTTGTCAAATCTAAAATGAGTATCTTAGAAGTTTTAAATTTACCATCTGGCATCTTTATTTGAATGGGATGGCATAGTTGAATGGTAGAAAGTTTAAGATCGGATCTTGAGTTTAAGTCCACTCAGCTCTGATGAGTACCTGACTCATATTTGGGAAACTATGTTGACTGGGCATAATGCTGACCACACTATTCCCTCTGTATTGAGGTTTTTGAATCAGATGAACTCTACTTTATCTTTATCACAAAGATGAAGAGATTAAAAAGACAATTTAGTAAAAAAAAATTTAGTTAGAATTTTTTTTAAACATCCACCACTCATGAAAAAAAAATACAAATGACGAAAATCCCAAAATACAAATTGTAGACCCATTTATTGAGGTGTAATGCAAACCATTACATCATAGGGGGTCACATTTATGCTTTCATCCTGTTACATTCTTTCTTCAATAGTTCTGTCTATCTAACTGAAGCAACCATTTTTGTTTTAGGTGAATCATATGGACAAAAAGATGGACCAAGTCATTTTTCTCTTAAACACACTGGTCAAATCCAAAGAATTAAATGAAGAGTCAAAGGAAGTTGAAGTATAAAAGTAAACATAGGCCCAAGGTCAGAATTTGCATAAGGTGGAAGATATAAAATTCTTCAAAGGCAATCCTTGATGCTTTAACATGTGGCATAAAACAAGCTTTTTAACCTTGGCTATGAAACAAGCTTTTTAACTGGTCAACCTTGGTTGTGAAACAAGCTTTTTAACTGGTCCAACTTGGTATGAAAGAACCTAGTTAACCAATCAACCTTGGTTATGAAACATGCTTTTCAACCAATCAACCTTGGTTATGAAAAAGGCTTTTTAACTTGTCAAACTTGGTCAAAGTTGTCTATGGAACAAGTTCTTTAACCAGCCAACTGTGGCTATAAAACAAGATTTTTAACCAGTCAACCTTAACTATAAAACAAGTTTTTTAACCGGTCAACCTTGGCTATGAAACAAGGTTGTTAACTTTTCAATAATGGTTGACCTTGGCTATGACACAAGTTTTTTAAAAGATCAAACTTGTCTAGGAACAAGATTTTTAACTGGTCAAACTAGGCTACCAAACAAGTTTTTTAACTGGTCAAACTTGGCTACCAAACAAGTTTTTTAAAAGATCAAACTTGTCTAGGAACAAGTTTTTTAACTGGTCAAACTTGGCTACCAAACAAGTTTTTTAAAAGATCAAACTTGTCTAGGAACAAGTTTTTTAACTGGTCAAACTAGGCTACCAAACAAGTTTTTTAAAAGATCAAACTTGTCTAGGAACAAGTTTTTTAACTGGTCAAACTAGGCTACCAAACAAGTTTTTTAACTGGTCAAACTTGGCTACCAAACAAGTTTTTTAAAAGATCAAACTTGGCTATGAAACAAAATGTTTTTATTGGTTAAACATGGTTATCCAACAACCTTTGTAAATGATCAACTAAAGCCATAAAAAAAATGTTTTATAAACAATCAAATGTGTCTATGAAACTGACTATTTAATGTTGACACTTGGCTATGAATTTTACTTTTTAAATGGTCAAACATGGCTGTGTAACTTTCTAGCCTGTCCAAAAATAGGACAAAGATAATTTTCCTGATGAGACTGAACCAATCATATCTGGAGAAATTTTCGAAAACCAAAATATAATTATGGTTAATAGCTATTAGTTCAAAGCATTTTTACTTCAATTCAGCAAGCACATTCACCTTTGGTAGCTACTTAAGTATAAGACAAATAGTTTAAGTCATTATATTTAAAGCACTAAAAACAGTTTTGGACTTGGATTTTTTTCGCCTGGTTCATCTGCACCTACATTTTAACCCTCAGCATGTTAAAGAGTGCCTCACAAGATGTTGTATCAAGTGATGAGTAATTTTAATTGTTGTGACCAAAAAAAAACACTTTTAGTGCTTAAGGTATCCCAATTGTTTTTCAGTCAAATTCTGTTGAGTATGCTGAATCTCTTTTTGCTAATTTAAACCTATGTTGATGCTGTGTTCTGCCAACTTAATTTAAGTCAGTGTGTATAATTTGTGAAGTAACGATAACTTACACATTTCAATATTTTGTGTTGTCCCCGTTAATTTAATTTTGTACTGTGATGGTATTTTAATCTGTTATTTTCAGATTTGTCACTCTTTTGTACTGTGAAGGTAACTTATTTTGTGCTGTCTTACTAATTTAATTTAAAATCAATTTGTTTCCTTTGTACTGTAATGGTAATTTTAATCTGTCAATATTTTTGCACTGTAATGCTAATTTAAATATGTGTCCATACTTTGTACTATCATGGTTTACCAGAAGCATTGGATTTCTATTTTATTTATGAAAGAAAAATACATTGTACATACACTATAATATGTAAATATGAGTTTTAAAATATTTTATTCCCATTTTTTAGATTAATACATATGTAAGATTTTTATTTATTAATGAAACGATTATCTTGTACTACTGTACATTATTTCAAACCAACAGTTATGTTTGTTGCATTTTTTAATTAGCCATCGTATTTCATAAAAATTGTGTGACCATTTTGGATATTAACGATACACTTTCTTAAGTGGTTCCTAAATATAAAAAGTATTTCTTGATGTCAGTCACTGTTTCTACCTCCCTTACCAACCTGCACCTTATGATACACTGCCTATTCCAGGAGAGAACGAAAGCCTTTCAGTCACTGGGTGAATAGTTTCTCAAACCACTTATCATCCTTAGACTGCACCTTCAGAAATGTTTTTCTCTCATTCATTAAGTGTATTAACATAATAAACCAGTAGGTTATTTTTTATGTGACATTTACTTATAAAATATTTTTTACAATCTTAGAAGCTCACCCAAGTAACTATGGTACAATCTAAAAACTTCTGAAATTTTTATTTTATTTTGAAGTTAATGCCATATATTATTTTATAGTTTTTAGGGAAATCACATTATTTTTAAACAGATTCGTGAATAAAATCAACATGCTGTTCACTATTTTAGTTTAGGTTTCATTAGTGTTGAAGAAGTAACTTAACTTCAAAATTAGTTTTGTCCAAGAAAACAAGTAAATGTTAACAAGCAGTCACCTAAGGACACTGCAGGATAAAATTACTACATAGCCAAAAGTTTAAAAATATTACTGCAGCTAGATTTTGAATTTTCATTCCAGGATGAAGTAAGTCATGAAGCTAAGTTATAACTTAGCTGCCAATAAACATTCCTACAACTAATTAATCATTAAACACTAACCCACACATATACTTCATTGTTTCTGTAATTTAAATTATCAAGCACCAACTTAAATATATTTCTACATTTACTGTTAATATTATAGAATATTGTTTTGTAATTTGGCATAGTGTTAAATTTTAAAATATTCTGGGAATTATACACTCCAGCACTGCAGAGATTTTAGACATGTTGTTCACCTTTTTGGATGAGCTGCGAATCCCTGTGAAAGAAGTCTAAAAGTTTCAAGTCCTGACATTCAAACTTACATAAAATGAGTCATGTCTTCCTTTAAACATTTACCTTCTCAATACAAGATATACAATCTACTTAAACTGATTCCCAGATTCCTATTTAATAAACTGCAGTTTAAAATTGGTTCGCATTTATTTATTTTTTACTTTGAGTTTTTTTTGTTAATCACTGCCACTATAAAATTTGGTTAAATAAATCTAGTTAGTGTTCAACTCTTCTTTTTTTTTTAATTAATGTAGAAATTTTTATCTTTTATCTAAAAATGTATTCTAAGTTCTTGTTTTTAATTAAATTTATGCTGCATGTTTGGGAATGTATGTTGATTATTTTCTGTAAGAATTTAAGCTGGTTGCTGAAGGTGTACGAAAGTGTTGTTTATTTGTGATACTCAAAATAAAAATATTCACATCACTCATATTTGTTGATTATTAAACTGACTTACGTTTACTTGTCCAATACATCAAAATACAAGTTGGATTTTTAGCAAGTGTATAAAACTAATGTGACTCTAATCTATTCTAATCACAACATGGAAGAGCGTATATATCAACATTCATAGATAGTAGATGTCTGTAATGAATCATTCTGTATTTTTCTTAAAATTGTGTTTGGTTTTTTTCAAAATATATCAACATTAATAGTTGAAAACAATCTGACTTTATAAATTGTATTTACATTAAAGATATATCAGCATACGTTAACATAAAAATTATTAAAAACACCATTTATATAATTTCATTTATTTAGACAGTATATATTAATACATTATTTAATAAACAATCACCAACATATTTTAAATAAATGTACCCTCAATGGCAACAACTCTGTTGTAAATGTGTATAAATAGCATTTCAGGCTATCAAAAAAAAAAAATTCACAAATTTGCTGTTAGATTAAGATATCAGGCTCATAATGCTTCTTCCTTTCTTACTATTTGATATTTATTTAGAAATATGATCTTTAAATAAACATAGTAAAACATTTTGACAATTTATAAACATTTATAAAATGCATACTGGCCAACATATTATTAGACAAGATGGGATATCACATGTAAATTTTAAATAAACATAATGGATACAAATATTTTAATGGAATGTTAAGCGTATAATGTTTTAAACTTAACTTGTTTATATAATCATTCATTTTCTACTGTATAAAAAAAAGAACAGATCTAAATAATATAATGGTACATCAACATAAATGTGATATTTTGTGCAAGAAAAAATAACAATCAAGATCTGTAGAGAAAAACTTAAATAAATATATAATATTATACTGTGCTGATATAATATTTTGACTAGAAAATTACCTTGAGGATAAAAATGTGAGATTTTCTAATCTCCAAATCTATCTTCTCAAGTACCACCTCACTGCTGCAAACAATATCCTGTCATCTCTTCAAGTAATTGTTTGAAGAAGAAAATGGTAGCTTAGAATCAAACCAAGGTTGAACCAATGAGAAGTGGTTCTGTGTTAATATAATAACACATGGCAATACTGAGTATATGCTTGAATCAGGGGGACTGTAGGACATCAAGTTTCCTGACAAGTGAAATAGATGACACTGTCATTCAAAAGATTATTTGTAAAAATCTGGATATTTATTTTAAACAATTTACCTAATACCTTCGTAAAAAGTTAATGTCACTGTGAAAAAAAAATATCAAAAACTTTTCTAGTTACAATAATAAAACAGTCACCACTTAAATACCTTCTTACATAGCATAATCCAAAAATCAAACCACATTAAATAAATCACATATGTTAATTAAATAAAAAGTTTCACAATCACATGAAAGGGATATAATTCTTCAGAAAGGTGATGTAATTCTTCCAAATTTTTACATACTCCATCCACCATCAATGATGAATTCTTGACCTGTTACAAAGCTGGACTGGAAAAAAAAAAGGATTTGTTTTTTTTCTTTAAATTGGGATGCTGAAAACCTAAGATCACAACAATCCATGATCTGCATGCTTTAACAACTGCTTGCAGAATAATAAAAAAAATGTATTACTGCTTATATGCCATGGTTATTTTAATTTCATAATAAACAATAGTAGTTACAATTTTATTTTTTTTAAACTGTAGGCATATAAACCAGCTGACGATTCTTTAACAAGTGAAGATAAAGCAATTACACATGAGAATAATCTTTGTATTAACTTTTCTTGTGCTGCACTTTTACCTAACATAGATGAGATTATTGTGTAGTGAAGGCAAGTAATTACAGCCTTACTTCCCCTCCCTATAAAGTGCCATAAAACAAAACCATCATTCTGCCTCCAAATCACATATTTGTTACAAGATTTCTGATATAATAATTGTATTAAAGTAGACCAATATTAAGCTGAATTTGTAAGCCAAACCTTTATTAAAAAAAGAAAAATTAACTCACTTCATCTGATGCTAAATATATGACAAGACTTGCTATTTCCTCAGCTGAAGCCAAGCGCCCCATCTTCTGTCTTGCAATGAAATCTTTTCTAGCCTATTGAGAAAATTTTCTCTATCAACCACAGATTTAATTTTTATTTCTTAAAAGAAAATGTATAATTTCTTTTAAAATGATTTCAGTTAAACCTATTAGATTTGTATATCATGTTGTTTAAATTTTTTACAAGCATCTTTTATTTTTCTCAAAACATAACAAACTTTGCTATCGTACACATGTTTTAAATTGAGATATGGATATTGACTTCAGGCTTAATAAATAATACCATATGAGAAGACATCATAATTTCACAAAAATAATATGAAACAAACGTTTTTTAGACCAAAATAAATGGGGCACAAATAAGAATGACAAGATACATTTAGGAGGCTGGGGGCTGCTTTACCTGATCTGGGTCATCATAAGCTGATAATCTTTCTCTTAAAGATGGTGTATCTACAGTACCTGTAAACATTATTGTACAGTTTATTTTTATTTCATTTTTTTTAAAGTATTAATTATAAATAACTTAGTAGTTCAATATCAAAACACTAACAAAAATAAGAAACAGTTGATCTTTTTTTTTAGCATTTTTTTTAGCTTCTTCAACATTTTCGCTTTTTTTTAACAATTATTTTACCACATTTTTTTTGGGTGGAGGGGGATTAAAATAAAGGATGAAGGCTAGTAGAAAAGCTTACCAGGACAAACACTATTGAATCGCAACTTGTGCTGTACAAAGTCTACAGCCATAGATTTTGTGAGGCCAATAACTGCAGCCTTAGTACCAGCATATACAAATCTGTTTGGTGCACCTAGTCAGAACAACCATTCAGTAAAATGCCAAATAAAATATAATTTGTTCTGTTTTTTAAGTGCACATTATTGTAATATGTATAGAGGATTTTTATCAATACTTATCAATAATTTATCAATACTTAAATTATTAGAAAAATTATTATGCCTGAAAAAACATGAAAACAGGAAGGGGGGAGATGACCCTACCTTTAATACTGGACACAACAGAGGCCATGTTGATGATACTACCACCAGTGCCTTGTTCAATAAACTTAAAAATATAAAGTTAGCAATTTTGAAGTTGACACACTAAAAATGTATACATTTAAATATGAAAGTGATACAAATTTTTCTATTGAATAATAGTGAATCAGAAAACAGCTAAGAGGAAAACTTTAGCACATTGTATTTACACTTTAGGAACAAATTGTAAGCACAGTGTATTTACACTTTTACTCACTTTAGGAACAAAGTTTGAGCACATTGTGTAAAGGCTTTTAACATTGAGATTGAAAGAAAAGTCCCATGTCTTCTCATCACAGTCCAGGAGAGTTCCATTGTGAACAAACCTTAAAGTTGATGATTATTCATATTATATTAATGTATATAATAGTCCTTTACAATTTACTAACAATGATCTCAGCTGCATGTTTGTATTTTAATTAGAATAGAAATAAAGCTAAGAGTTACACTTTTTCTTCTTTTTCTTCATTCTAGAGTGTAACATTGATCATATAAGAAGTGCAACAACCCAGTGATCTCCAACTCAGCAAGGTTTCCAAAAATGACATGATTTAAGGATAAGATTGTTCATAAATTAGCTCTACATCAAATAATTCTATAGTATCTTTACCCAGCACAATTAAACAAAATATCAACTTTGTCAACAGACTTGGCAAACTGTACAACATCATCTTTCTTTAGCACATCTAAAACACGAGTCTCTATACCTGGGGTTTTAAAAAGAGAAATTATTATTTCTTTACAATGTGTTCAAAGTATAGCTGCAATAGAAATAATAATAAATGTTATATTATTATTTCTTAAAGCATGGGGATGTTAAACAAATATCATTTGGAAGTTTTTGTAATAGGCTACACTTTTTCTTGTTATTTATTCTGATGGAGAACACTAAAAAAGGATTGTTGATTTATGCCTGTAAGTTGTTTTTTTTTTCCTAAAATATTTAATGTGGTGCCAATCTAATGCTAGATTGTGCTAAACTAATGCATTACCATAAAAAGAAATAATAATAATTTGAAGTATAACAAACTAGCTCAGGTATCATTTGAATTTAGTTAACATTAGATGGCATAAATTTTTAATGTTTCAATCCAGGGGCGTTAAACTTTTGTGACTTTATATGACAAGTAGGGGAAGCAACTGTGTCATTTTTTTTATTTTTGCAGATATATTGCATTTTTGAATGATTTTTTATAATAATAATAATCATAATAATAATTGATCAATATAGGCCTACCTAAATATTGATACTGATTTACAGAATAATGATTTATGTTATTGGCAAATTACAATAAAGCTTGCAAACATGTGCATACTGTTAATATCCTGAGTAGAAGGGAAACAACTCAATAATTATTTTTTAAAATGAAAAACTAGTCAGTGGGGTCTGAGTATTTTTTGACAAGGAAGGATGGGTAAGTATCTTAGGGGAGAAGTGAGAATTTAAAAACTGGCCAAATAAAGCAAGACATCATTTACTGCCTAATTTAATGAACAATGAAGTTCCACTGATTTAGTTAACACTTGAAAAGGTAGGTTAATTAATCTGAGTCAACACACCAGGTATGCTATCTAGCTCTTTTAGAAGGTCACCATTGACATCTGTGGCAATGACTCTAGCACCTTCTTTAGCTGCCATCTGAAAAAGAAAAATGTGAGTTACCGTAAAAAAATCTACACACCTTGTGTATAATAAGCCCACTTCATACCCAATATTCATTGTAATCTTAATCCATCAATGTTTTAATTTAAATAAATTACCATTGTACTATAAAATAGGCCTACTACAAAAATCTAATATATGCATATCTAGCATATTTTAGTTTAATGCAGATTAGAATTAGATCGCTAACTTGCAAATGTGTACACTCACAACAGCTGTTGCCCGTCCAATGCCTTGACCAGCAGCAGACAAAACAAACACTTTCCCATCCAGACGTCCCATTGTCACACAGTATTTTTACGGCTGTATGGACCCTGTAGGATTTAGAATTAATTATTAATTAAGTTAAAAGCAGAAAACGAAAATTAAAAATGGAAATACATTTAGAATCTAGTTTTTAGTCCTTTGTATTATTATAATAGTTAAATACTATTTACTATAGCAGTAAATCTAGTTCCAAAAAAAACAAAAACAAAAAGATTCGTGGCACAACACAACTGAATTTTCCTGTTGGAAACCTAGATCTACATCATAACTACTTATTAGATCTACATAACTTAGACAATAAATTAAAATGATATATAAATAGGCCTATTGTGTGTTTGTATGTTTTAAGCTACTATTTAGTATTTAGTCATTTGTTTACCCAGAGCTAAAACCACTTACTTTCAAAACAATCAGTCTGCTGCGTGGTTTTTGCTGTTGTGCTAGAATAACTTAACTAACACGTTGGACGTTAGCCTTGACCTAGATCTAGTTCTGTTATCATAAGCTCACTTGTTTGAACAATGCAGGCTTATGTATGTAGACTATAAAGATAAAGGTAGTCCCTTTCGTTTTTATTTTTTCCGTACAATTCAGAATTAGTTCCACGTGTATTACTGATGGTAGACCTAATTAAATTAGTCTAGGCTGAACTTTAATAATAGTTACATTGTGAATAAGGGAGGCAAAGCTCATAATATAGATTAGAAGTGTTAAGTTGTAAATACTATAGCTTTTTTTGCATTGATCCATATTGATAGAATATCGAGAAAAAACATCAAACAAATCTTCTCAAACAGATCTATTCTATTAGGCCTCTGCGTATAGATTATTGATGGTTCCATTCTAGTTCTACATCTATTTGAGATGGGTGTGGTGTGGGCAGTGGCGTAGCAACCGGGGGGCAGGGGGGTACATATGTCCCCGGGCGCCGACCCTAGTGGCGCCAAATAAGCTAATTTTATCTGCTATTTTGAATTACAAATATAAAAAATATAGGGGGGGGGGGCGCCAAATTGAAAGTTTGTCCCCGGGCGCCGGGAGGGGTCGCTACGCCTCTGGGTGTGGGGGTCGTCGCCTTGAAATTTTAATAAGTTTTGTTAAATACATTACAAAGAGTAAACCCTAGTACCCTGGATGTACCCAGTAACTATTATAACTATTTTCTATACTATGTGTATTGGGTCTATACGTAGATTACTGTGTGTCCATTTTCAATACTTAGTTAGTTCTACTAAATCTAGCTTGTGTTGTAGATTTGTGTAAAGTAGGTATATTTGTCGTAGTAGTGTAGTGCGAATGTCACATGGCAGTTCAAGCAGCTGACCTAACTTGACCTATATACAGCACAAAGTACACATAAACTGTTTCCCCATCACAAGTTAGAGAAGCAAGAGAATGAAATTGAAAACAGCTTAGTTTGCATGGTTATCTTTCGTAATGAACTTTATGGAGGCTAAAGGTTAGCCTAGCCGTGGCACGAGCAGAAGCTTTTTGCTTAGACTATTTCACTATTTTCTTTAAATTATATTAAATTAGGTAAACATGACAGCTCAAGGAGAAAAGCGAGTACTATCAATTCAAAGTTCTGTTGTCTTTGGTTACGTTGGAAACAAAAGCGCAACTTTCCCATTACAGGTGAGTTCCAGTTATTTCTCACTCACACAAGTCACAGTCACAAGACAGATCCAGTAGGTAGTGGTAGGCCGGGAGAATGTTTACACCGGTGTCAATTAAGTATAAGTAGTAATTTTTTATTATTAGTTATTAATTTTAATAATAAAATATTAAAATTAAAAATACATTATTGTTTAGCATAATAGTATTAATTATTAATAGATTAATACTTCAGACATTTTTATTTATTAGTGTCTATTTTAGGCCGAATATTAAATATTTATTCCTTCTTGTTCAAATGTGATGCGTCTATAGTCTATAGTCTATAGGACTCTTTAGGGGCAGGCCCTATGCCCCATTGTATAAATCTTTCTTCATCTTTGTTCTTAATTATAATTTTTATAAATATATATTATAATATAGAAAAAGCATTACAACCAATTTACAATCCTACATCATAGGTTTACCAAATCTAATTGTATCATTGTTACTATGAGTTTAAACACAGTTAGCCTAGTAATATAATAAGGCCTATACCCACAGACACTGTGACAATCAGCAGCTAACGATGCCAAAAAAATATAGTAATTTACTAATTAACTGCTCAAAAACCTTTTTTTCTCCAGTTAATTAATTATAACCTGTGATATAACATTGTTTTCTTTTCAGCTGCATGGCTATGATGTTAGTACAATCAACTCTGTTCAGTTTTCAAATCACACAGGTAATTCTTGACCTAAGAAAGTTGGACATTTTGGACTCTTCACTTTCATTTGAGTGCCTTTGTGTCTAATTTTAAAATATTTTATGTTTCATCTAGTCATTTAAATGTTAATTTAGTCCTAACCAATTTAAAAGTCTTATAATTTTTATTTTCTAGGCTATGGTAAATGGAAAGGGCAAGTTTTAAATGCAGAAGAGGCACACGATTTGTTTCAAGGACTTCGCATCAACAATCTTCTTGACTTTACACATGTTCTTACCGGTAACATTTCAGTCTTTTAGAAAACAGTTGATAAAAGTTACATGAATTATTATTAAAAGAAAAATTTTATAATGTCTACAATTATATTATAGGCCTATAAATGGTTGTAAGGCACAGCAAAGAAAAATTTCTTCATTAAAAAAAGACTAACATGTAAAGCTTGACTTTTCACTTTAAATCCCTTTATTATTTTAGAGTAAGAAAATAATGTGATTAGTTTTAAATCTACAAACTTTCAGCAATGTGTTATATATTGAGAAACCAACCATATTAGTTCCAGAAACCATTTTTGTCTTTTACCTTAGGTTACATAGGGTCTGAGTCTTTTCTCAAGAAAGTTGGAGAAGTTGTCAAGGAGCTGAAATCTAAAAATCCCAACCTAATTTATGGTAAGCCAATCATTCTTTTTATTAATTATCTTTTTGCTTTGATACATGGTTTATTTAAAATTTGGAAATATTCAGTTTTAAGTAATGCAATTCCTTCACTATTTTGTTAAATTAATGTCACCAATAACCATATTTTTAAATGAATAACATTCACTTGTTTACAATACTTTGAGTAAATTATTTATTTTTTCCCCTCATGTTTAGTCTGTGATCCAGTAATGGGAGATGATGGCAAACTGGTATGTTTTATCTTCTATTGTGAGAGTGTATACACAATTCATTAAGTAAAAAACTTTCCATGCTATATCCAGGCTTTTAATTCTAATAAGTTTACAATTTATTACAGGAAAAAAAATATTTTTTTAATCTGTATTATTAAAAAAAAAAAATTAAAAGCCTTAGTTAAAGACAGGCACCAAACGTAATGTATGCATCCTTGCACTTTGTTGAAGCAGTATGTGAGTGAGGCACTGGTACCTGTCTATAGAACACAGATCCTGGAGCAGGCGGACATCATCACACCTAATCAGTTTGAACTGGAGTAAGTAGATTTTAAACCTAACTCAACTCTGCATTCACGAGAACTTTTTTGAAATATTGCAAAACTTACATACAAATGTTGTATGATAGCAATGACTTTTCTAATCATTTTTATAGAGACAATTTTAAAATATATTTTGTTGCAGGAAACCAATAAATGTTAACTTTTAATATTTTAATTTCACTTTGTTTTTGTTTCTCTACAATCTTGAATGGCATTGACTTTAGGCTAAATCAGCTGTTCATGTTTAGTATTTAGCATTTGTTTAGGCTGATCCTAATTGCTAACAAAAATAGATACACTGTGTAAGCACCACTGTCACAAAATGAGTCACCAAATACAAAATACAACAGCTTAGAGGACTAGATTAAAGTGGAAACATTTTGCACCATGTGTTGCACACAAAATTGATTTTGTTTTTATATTAGTGGTCTGTCTGTTACTCTTGTATTTAAGGATTGTCTATAAAAAATATTCATGTCATATTTTTAGAGGAGTTCTTTAATTAAAAATAATGGTGAGGTAAAGGAATTATGGTTATTTTTTGTAAAAGTATAGGTATTTTTGGTATTCAGATGTGGTGGGGTTAAAATTCAGCAAAAATTGTGTGAAGTCATACATGGACAACCCTTTACAAAATTAGTTTACTTTGACTGGACAGTGAAGACTATGTTAATTGTTGACTCTGAAACCACCAGACAGCTAACAGAACTGCCTGTGGAAACAGAGGAGCAAGCATTCATTGCCATGAACAAACTACATGATCGAGGTGTGGGGATAGTTGTACTCAGCAGCAGTAACCTGGGGGTCAACTCTAATATGCTGTGTCTCGCTAGTATACGCCAAGGTTAGTTACATTTCATGTTTATTAACAGAGACTTTTTTCTTAAATAAGAGAAAGGTAAATAACTGAACTAATTTTAACACTGTAAAATTGTGAGAGGTTTTTTTTACCAAATAGAAAAAAATTGTTGAAACACTTTTTCTTATACAACAATGTGCCATTTGGTTTTTTTATTTAAAAAAAAAACAACAAGGGTAATTTAAATCCCTTTAGATGCTTATTGCTCAAGTGAAGTATTTGACTTTGTTTAATGTAATTAAACACTTATTTATGTATTTATGAAACTAATTTTGGTAGATACCAGTAAAAAAGTCAATACTTTATTACTAACAAAATAGTTGCTCAGTATGCTGATTTTTTTCTTACTTTCTTTTAGAAAAAGTTTCCAAGAGATACAGGCTACAAATTCCTGTGGTGAATGCTAAATTTGTTGGCACTGGGGACTTGTTTGCTGCCTCTCTCCTCACATGGATGGACAAAGAAAAAGACCTCAAGGTTTGGATTTATTTTTAGCTTACGTGTAAAATTGAAACGGATGTCAAGTTCCATAAATGGTTCCAACTAACTAGCAAACTGATGCAATATTTTATTTGATTGGTTCCAACTAACTAGCAAACTGATGCAATATTTTATTTGATTGGTTCCAACTAACTAGCAAACTGATATAATATTTTATTTGATTGGTTCCAACTAACTAGCAAACTGATGCAATATTTTATTTGATTGGTTCCAACTAACAAGCAAACTGATATAATATTTTATTTGATTGGTTCCAACTAACTAGCAAACTGATGCAATATTTTATTTGATTGGTTCCAACTAACTAGCAAACTGATATAATATTTTATTTGATTGGTTCCAACTAACTAGCAAACTGATACAATATTTTATTAGATAGGTTCCACAAACTAGTAAATTGATGCAATATTTTTTTTTTAGCCTGCTCTTGAAAAAACAGTCAGTGTCGTCCAACATGTTATAAAAAAAACTTATGAGAGAGCACTAAGTAAGTCTTAATTCCTCTTGTGTTTTTACAATGATAATTAAGTTTTCAGTTTGTTAAATGTCTTACTTTTTTCAATATGTGATTAGGGTTGGGGGGGGGGGATGTTTTAAACCCATTTTTTTTTTATATCCTAACTGAACATATTAACAAATATCTCCATTCAGAACTTGCCGCCCCTGAAGAGACACCTACTGCTGCTCAAATGGAGCTCCAGCTTATCAGCTCCAAAGAAAATATAGAGAACCCAACAGTTCTATTCCTAGCAGAAGAAATAGAGTATAAAGTCTAGAAAAACTAGGAAAACATTTTATCTAATCAGATGTGGATTCTGCAACATAGATCTCTAAAACACAAGAGCTACATGCTAATGCTAAGGGCATTTATGATTGGTCCAATCTTACCATGTGACACTTAGTCATAGTCTCACATTCCATCATACCAAAGACCATACAAGCTTCTGGAGGTCTGGGATCAAACACCAATGAGACTGAGCAAACACATCAACTGGGTTGTTGTTTTTTTTACATTTGTCAGTATTACAGTTGAAATGTGTCCATGAATATTTGTTACACATTCCAGTCAGGAATAGTTAGTTTTATGTAATGGTGGCAATGACCATCTTTGTTGTGGTTTTAACTGTATATTATATTTAGAGAACGCAAGTGTGGTCAGAGAATAAACAGTGCTGTGTTACTATTATTGTTATGAAAAAGTCTATGTGAAATTAATTTAAATTATGTAATAAATAGTTTTAACATGTTTTGGTTACTTTGTTTAAATGTAAGTAAAAATATAAAAATTTAACAAAGGGCACTTGAGAGGTGAAGTGGCCCTGGACCTTGTGACCTTAAGCTCCACTGGAGAGGTGTGAAGTGCCCCTGAATCTTAAGCTCCACTGGAGAGGTGTGAAGTGCCCCTGAATCTTAAGCTCCACTGGAGAGGTGTGAAGTGACCCTGGACCTAATGACTTTAAACTCCACTAGAGATGTGTAGTTGTAATTCTGATAGCCCACTAGAAAGGTGACCTTACTATCTGGCTCAATGAACTGTGACAGCAGTACTAATAAACATACAGAATATGGACAAACATACAAAAGAATTAAAGTGTACCTAATTTTTTTTTGCTTGATAGATACTATTGTCTCACTAGGGTTTTGGTTTATTACCAAGTACATTATGGTGTTCTCTCAACAACTCAAGAAATGTTGTTTAAACCTAATTACACTACAGCCTAGGTTTTAAATCAATTGATTCAATTCCTAGTCAGCCTGTAAAAAACAGAATCTGTGACAAGCTAATTAATTAGATCTATAGTTTGCAGCAACATGTGGTTTTACTTAAATGAGCTCGATTAATTACTGTGATCAATACAGAAAATCGTTAATGAAAATATTTTTCAGGCGTGTGGTAGTAATTAATTAGCAGTTTCTTTCTTCAAACTAATTGATTTTTTCTGTAAGCTCGTGTTATGCAGAAGATTTTTTTTTCTCTGCTTAACAAAACTGCTGAGATGTCAGTTAAATGTCATTTTTTCATGACTGGCTTCAGTCATATGCAAACTGCACCTAACCTGTACTTTTCAGACCCCACCATACTAGTTCATTTGTTTAAATGCTGATTTAGGTTGTACACATCATTGATCATCTTGAAATCACTTCACACTCCTGGAGGGAGTGTCAGTTGTGTAAAAGTGTGTAGGGAGGAGTGCATTCCACATTTGTTATGATGAGCAGAGAATGAGGGGGGGGGGGTGACATGTTTGCATATTAAAAAGTTATTTTTTAGTAGTCCAAATTAAAAGATATACAAGTAGGCTACTCAAATTCGCTAAATATTCATATGTATGAATTAACGGCACTAGCAAAAGACTATTTCCCTTTATTAAAGCAAATTGCTCAAATAAATATTTTAGAAATAAATTGTACCTTCAAAAGTAATATATATATATATATATATATATATATATATATATATATATATATAAATCGTATCTATAAGGTCCATACTGTATCACACTCTTTAAAACGGATGTAGGTACCATAGTGTTCAGGGGGAGCCTGGAGGATCAAATCGCAGCATGACCTCTGAAGTTTAAATTGTTTACCCAGAAACCTTTCCAGGAGTATTCTCATCCATTTCCCAACGTTACCAAATTGTGACAGTTACAGCCGTCTATTTAAATAATGGACAAAGGGAAACAACCAAGTTAATATAGTTTGCAAAATAATCTAAGCTTGGTTAATTCCTTTTGCTATTCAAAGTTCATTCCTTATTATCTTGAGGCCCTTGGATGGCTTACACATTCTTAATTTGTAACACTAATGTTATATACGTTTAGTATGCAGTTTCATCTAAAATTATTTTTTTCACATAAGTTCTTAAAAAAAAAACGGTTATCTATGCTAAGAAAATAACCTGTGTTGTGCGTTGTTAAGAGGTGCCTATAAATGATCAGAAGATTTTTCCATTGGTATATAATATATAATACTAGCCATATGTTGCACTTATTTAATTTATCGGGGAAAAAACCCAATGCAAGTTAAGGACAACCAATAAAATACCAATAATAGAGCAAGCCAAGTAGAGTTGCGGGGTATGGAAACATACTAAAATGATTTACCGATTTAGAAAATGTCATTCTTGGTTGTATTTGTTGTATAACATAATAAATATTAATTCGTTTTTGTGAAATGATTCATTCTACTTCAACATACTATTAACTGGAAAAAAACAGAGAAACAATTACGAATATAGGCCTAATGATAGCTATATTTTAATGGACTGTCACAGTGGTAATCTGATGATCAGAAGGAATGGTAAGGGAGGCCACTGCCACAAAACCCCTAAATCTTATCTTTATCCCTCTGTTCCAAGGAGAGCATTGAGAACAATCAAGTCAGTAGACGAGTCAAGGTCTGCAGATTCAACTCTAGATCTAGATGCAGATCATATAATTATTAGATCTAGATCTTATAATCTATTATCTAGATCTATAACAGTCAAAAAATGGATTCAAATTATATTAATTGTACTATTATTTCCGAGGACATAATAGATTGCAATGGCACCCGATATGATCTTCCTGAAAAAATCCTTAGTTACAAAGATACGTGGTTTTGGATTTACGTTGGAATTTACACAGGGCTTGTTATATTCGCAGGTAACTGGTAAAACAAAACACTATGTTAGTTAATCCTGACCCTTACGACTTAGATAAAAAATCTTGCAGGAACCTAAAAAAAAGTAATATTTATGAAGTGACTACTATTTTACTACTAGAGTCTAGATCTATGGATAATAATTAATATCAATTTAATAAATTAATAATTTAGTTTTAGATTCAACCTTTCCTTTGAAGTAAATCTAGATCTAGTACTAGATTCTAGTTCCTAGTATAGCAAAAATAAAAACAGTCTTAAAAAATGTAAAACTAGAACACTAAAAATACAAATTCTGAATGGTCATTAAATTTCTAGTGCAGTAAGTCTGGACTATAAATTTAATTAGAAAATTAATTTCTTTTTGACAAGAAAACAAAACTCAACCAAAGAAATCTGAAAAGTATCTGATGCTATAATATAGTAAGCTTTTTAAATAATACCAGGTAGCAGTTCAATAACTGGATGTCACTGACACACTTTTGGAATGTATGAACCAGGCAATTGTAAGCTAAATTTTATTTTACAGCTTATTTTTGTCCCAAGTAAAATTAAAATAGTTTTAATATTTAAAAAAAAATTCCTCTAGTGTAGAGTGTAGTCTCATACTCATAGGTCATTACATTTTTTTTAATGTAGGGTTTTTTTAAATTAAAACTGTTATTCTAATTTAAATCTCAACAAAATGAATTAAGCTTATAGATTTCTAATTGTAAATAAATGGTTTTAATGGGAAAAAATGTTGTTTTTACACCTGTGTACACTAAAATATTGTACACATGTTTTAGTAGGTGCCTATTTATTTGAATTGCATCACCATGTCTGATGCTGTCCTCTCTACCATACATTGTGTTGAGCATGACTTAAATAAGATTACATAATTGTCCCAGTAAGTTTAAATATAGCTAATTCAGTCCCAATACTTAGCTTACTTAAACTAACTAAAACTTAATATTTTTAAATTTGTTTTGAAGTTAAATTTGTGTAAGATCTGTTTAAATTATTGTGAACTGGTTTGTTCTCTCCAAGGTCTGATGTCTGGCCTTACGATGGGTCTGCTGTCTCTGGACTCCACCACCCTGATTACTCTGAAAGATGGCGGCACACCCAGCCAGAAGAAATATGCCAGACGAATTCTCCCCGTTGTGAAAAAGCACCATTTGCTGCTGGTTACCTTACTCTTGTCAAACTCTGCTGCCGTTGAAGCTATGCCAATTTTTCTAGATAGGATCTCAAACCCAATCATTGCAATAACAATCTCTGTAACAGCTGTTTTAATATTTGGAGAGTAAGTAGTTGGGTTGATAATACTTTTGTATCAAATTATTTTATCCTACATTGAGATTTAGATAAACAAAAATAGATATCAAATTTCTTTTTCGATTCAGCAAAAATAAGATTCTACTTGTTACATAGCAATTGTTTTTACAATACTTTGTTTATTGATCTATCTTTTGCAATTAGTAAGACCATGTCATTTGTCAGTAAATTTTGTTCTATTGGCATTTGATAGTTGTCAAGCAGCTTAATTTCCAATTAATAATCTACTGCTTTTTTAGAGTGATTCCCCAAGCAGTGTGCACAAGATACGGATTAGCCATTGGAGCATATCTGTCTCCGTAAGTTGCTTTATATGCTTGTATTATCTTTAAAGTAGTTTAGAAAATATTTTTTGCGACAGGGTTGTGGTTAAAGAAAAAAGTCATACATATTTCAGTGAGCTTCCATTACTATCCAATGGAAACAGTTAATTGATAAGACTCCCACTGGCCACAGGTGTGACTTATACAGTGTTTATTTCCTTAGAATGTCAGACCTCATCAAAACCAAATTTTAAAAATGATTTTATTCCTTATAGTATAGATTTACAAAACTTCTTTCTAATACCATAGACTTGTCTACCTTTTGATGGCAGTGTTCTTCATCATCTCCTTCCCTTTATCACTGCTACTGGACTGTTGCCTGGGTAAAGAGCATGGCACCTTCTTTAGAAGAGCTCAGTTGAAGGCTTTAATAGAGATTCATGGAGAGGACTCACAGGCTGAAGGGTTAGGGCCAAGGGAGGATACTCTCTCCCATGATGAAGTGGCCATTATCAAAGTAAATTTTTTTTCAATATCTTAATACTTAAATACCATTTCTAGGCTAGTCTTGTGTGTAAAATATTATACACTATAATATACTTAACTATTTATTTTTAAAAAAAAATGATTCACATAAATTATATTAAAATTGATCCCATAACTATCTTACAGCATTTATCATATCTAGATCTAATTTGAAGTTTAATTTGATGATAGGGCTGTTTGGACATGAGAAATAAAACTGCAAAAGATGCCATGTTGAGTATTGACAAAGCCTACATGGTGAACATACATGCAAGACTGGATCATGAAGTCATGACTCAGGTAAGTTAACATTGCTCATTGTCCATCGGTTCATTCCAATTAGACTAAACATTAATTAATAAAGTAGTTTTGTACAGTTATTGATTAAAAAGAATAGTTATAATAATTGTTATTAGACAATAATATTTTATTTCTGTTTTTCCATGTGTGTTTTGACTTAATATTCCTTGCATCATTGTATGCCCATAAATTAGTTAAGTGTGATAATTTATTTTTACTTACATGATTTTAGCAATCCAGTCTTTCAGTATTTTTATTTTAAAATCTATATTTTTAATAGAAGTATGGCAGCCTTAAAATATCATTGTTATATATTTTAATATCTTTCCAGTAAATCCAACTCTTTTATTCTACTTTTAACAGCATTATTGTCAAAGTGTAATTATTTAGCAGTATCAGTGACTTGCTTTATTTAACATCATGATTAGCATATTTTAATTCAACAATATAGTTACATGTTTTATGCCACAGATGGTTCAACGATGTCACTCCCGTGTTCCTGTGTACACCAAGGATCGCTCTGATGTCGTGGCTTTACTTCTAACCAAAACTCTGATTAAACTTAACCCTGACGATGCTATCCCCATTAGCCGTCTTGTTGGAGATGAGCGCTTTTCTAGGGCAGCGCTCTTTGTAAACTCTGACATGCCACTGTTTGACCTGCTTAATCTCTTTCAAACAGGCAGAAGTAAGTTTATTTTTATCTTTACGTTTTTTTAGTTTATAAAAGTTTTTTTTATTAACCATTAATGTCCCATTCATTCTACCAAAACTCCACCCATGACGGCCCGATGTAAGGAGCATAACTCTGTATGATCAAGTGAATAGTTTCACAAAATATTTGTTTTTGTCTAAATGAAATTAAAAATTAAGATAAAAACTACTGCTTAATGTTGGGAATAAACCTGGCTTTCCAACAGTATTAAATAGAATATATTATATTTGGTAAAAGTACAGTATAAAAATAAAAAATGTCGGAGAAAATTCAAAACAGGTCATTTTCGGTAGTCAACTTTATTTATTTTTGTCTAAACAACTATGCATCGAATTTAACAGTTAAATATCAATTTGGTTATGTTTAAGATATATAATTAATAAAATACATGGCTTGATACGTTTAGAGGCATTACTTTATTTTATTTTTAATATTAAATCTACTAAAAATAGGACAGATGAGTCTAAAATTTCGAGATAGAAAGAAACTATTATTTTTTATCTTTCAAAAGCGCCATTGAAATTAGAAGACCGGAAAAGGATGCTGAAACAATCCGACTTCCTGTTTAGTTAAAAATTAGGATTTGTAGGCCAAATTTTAATGAAACAAATTTAATTTTTCTATGCGTATTGTAAGCGGGCGGCAGCGGGCGTTACGGGACATTAACGGTGTCGGGCGGCAGCGGGCGTTACGGGACATTAATGGTTAAACATACTGTTGTGGATTGAATAAATAGAAAATACATCTCTTACAATTTGTGCCTAAGTAGATTTATGTCCACCTACATTTATAATGTTTCACTCTGTCTCAGGCCATTTGGCAGTAGTTAAACAGAGAGCCAAGAAAGTGGTGGATGGTGAAATTGATCACGCAGAGTCAGCTCCCCTGCTTGTGAACATTGAAGAACCTGCTATTGCTGAATCTGAGGTGGAAGAAGGGGTAAGAAACACAAGGTTTTAATCCTGGAAGTTGTTTCAAGTTTGGTTATAACAGAAGAACATGTGGCACTGACTCATTGTTTATATCCAGACAGTGATTGGAATCATAACTCTAGAGGATGTTATAGAAGAGTTGCTGCAAGAAGAGATTGAAGATGAAAAAGACATTGTTCAAGAGATCACACAAAAGCTGCATTTTTCAATGGCTAAAAGGAGAAAAAGTATTGTAAGTGTTTAGTTATAAATATTTAGTCATGTTTCAATCATTAGTTCATTTTTTTTTTAAATTCAAAAGTTTGCGGATTTTCTTTGAACTAATTGAATATGTATAAAATTATTAATCACCAAGAACTATTAATTATTTAGCCCTACTCTACAGTAATTTAATTTTGTTTTCTTGTTATTTCACAATCTGGAGTTGGGAATTTTACAGGGAATAGACCACATGGCACATTTTAAAAATGTATTTAGCTATGAGTTAAAATATTAAACTTCTGGCTATTTGTCCGTTTCTCTTAGCACTCCCAGATACATCGTTGCCGCAGTCAGCCTCAGCCCTCCATGGGTGCTAGCATGTTTGACTCGTGTGCTGTCGGAGGCAACCACAGCCCAGTTATAAGGACAATATCCAGTTCGCTGCAAGAAGAGTTGGACAAACAGCTGCTGGCCATTCAGAAGGCCAAAGAAGAGACAATAGTAGAAGAGAATGGTGTCAGTGAACAAAGTCCTCATGTGCCAGCGCCTCATCGGACTGAAAGCAGAGTCAAATTTTCCTAGCAGTAAAAGCAGGCTGGATTAACCTATTCAGATTTATATTTACTGATCTATAATGACTTTTTCAGTAGCATGCAAGCTAGAATAGTAAGTGTGACACTGTAAAATACTGTAAATATGAGTATTTATTTAAGAATAACTTTACCACACTGCTTGGAATTCGAAGACTACAAAAATGTTTTTATGTGTTTTGGAAAAAAAAAACTTAGATACATTAGATACATTTTTAGGTAGGCCTACTTCCCTTTAAACCTACATAACAGCTTGGGAAGGAAATTGGAGTGTCTCTGTTGAATATCCATAGATGTGTGGAGAACTTATCCAGTTTAGTTCATTATTATTAACTGTGCCAGGCTTTTCTAAATTCACAAACTGAATAGTATTTTCAAGCCTAATAACATTTATTTTATATTTTAGATATTTTACTAACATTATTTAACTTGTTGTTCAGAAGAGGCTTAATTTTACCTTTTTTCCTCACCCTGAACACCATTATTAGTTTAATAGACAAGATCTAGTAGGCCTTTGTAATTGATGATATAGATTTCTATTTCTCCCAGTTTAGATGTATATATGCCTTTCTTTTTATGCAGTTTCAGTCCAACAAATGTTAAGTTCAAACTCTGCCTAAAATGAAGGCAAGATAAAAAGAGGCTGTTGAAAGTGTGAAAGAATGTTTTCTTTTAAGATGACAGACAACAAAAAGCTTTGGCCTACCTGTTATGACATTACATGACAAACTTAAGTGAAAGAGCCCAGTTCTCAAAGTGTGCACTCTTCAACATGACTTGTTGAGCTAGCTGAGAGAGGTTTGGAAAAACTACTGAGAAGATGCATGAAACAGCCAGGACTATTTGTGATTAAAGAAACTAGATGGCAGATGCCAGGTTATAAGTTACAGTCTGGTTTTTTCCCCAGAGACATTCAAATTTATCCCAAAGGAGCCTGATGCTATTGGGAAAAGAAAGAGCTGTTATCTCCCCTCATGCAATAAGCCAATGGTTTGAAGACTTCAAAGAGTATATCCACTCAATTTTAACCAATACCCATAACAGTCAATTAAAGGATATTTAATGCAGATGAAACAGGAATTTGTTTTGATGTTAAGTGAAAACAATGCATGCAAAGGTTCCAAGCATTTACAATGTGTCTTCAAACACAAAAACACAGGTAGCTATACTGGCTTGTGGCACTACATCTGGTTAGTAAGTTCAGTTTCAAGTATTTCATGTTACACTAGTCATCAGTCAAACAAATTCAAGTTCCCTGTTTCAATGATCACACCCAGTTTTCTACTCTCTTCTTTACTCCTCAAAGAAAACAAATTCTTGAATGTGGAAAAACTAAAACATGAAAACAGACTGGTTTCTTTACACATGATGTGATGAGGAGTCAGCTGGACAAGTCTTCACAAGGGGGTGGGGCCTGAGCAAGCACTCCCTTCACCTGTAACTTCCTATGACATTTTACAGCAGCCCAACTAAAAGAAAGGTAAAAGGGAAAGCAAAACCTAGTTATAGGTGATGAATTCAGAAAGCTTCAAGAAAAAATATGATAAAGAAAACAAAGATTTCAGGAAAGTTTAATGAGGGAAGACGATAAACAGAAAAAGGATGAAGAAATTTTTTTAAAAAGCTAGAGAGAGAAAGGAAGAAAGAAGAAATTAAAAGTGAGAAAGTTCAGGGAAGGAAATCAGAAGCTAAAACAAGCAATGATGACACAGAACCGTGAGGAGGATCCTCTCCTCACCCAGTCCATGGAGTTAGATCTGGCATGCGATGATGATCTAAGGACATATGGATGACCAAGACATCACGTCTGGGATACAATGGATGGTGGAATCCATAGGTGCAGTGTGACATCTGTGAAGGCTGCTGGCTTACTTGCTGCACACAAAATACTACATACTTAACTATAGTACAATTGGTGGACCTGCACTTCGTGTGCAACGTCTATTGCCCAATCAATGATGCCCACATAACATTTATAGATCCCAAAAGTGTAATTTTAAAAAAAAATTAAATCTAATTGTTTTCTTTCGTTTGCTTGTATAATTTGTTTTATCAAGATGAATATTATAAGACACAAAATGTAAACAAAAAAAGTATGCACAATTATATATTTTGTTGAGCTCACGTAAATATAATGTGTTCGTGAAAAAAGCTGAAAATTGAAGTTCTTTTGTTTCCATTCTATGTCAGATAGTAATGAAACCAGGGGCACAAAGTAGAAGCAAGATTTGTCTTCAGGTGCTAGGTGCTCATGATTGGTGCATTTAATCCTTGTCAAACTTTTCTTATGTTAACACTCTAGATGATGTACATAGATTATTGTCAGTGCTTCTTCCAGACTTTTTTCTCCGGGGGACGGGACAGGGATGACGACACTGTTAGAAGTGTATATTTTCTATATAAATTCTATTTCATTTTGTGGGGGGAGGGTGGGAGCTCTGCCGACGACCCCCTTGCCCCCCCCCCCCCCCCCCCAAGAGATGCCTGGAAGAAATCAGAAAAATAATGTTCACTGTACCATGATACAAACATGATCACTCGTTGATAAATCTCAAACATGTTCCTATTTTGGTCTACTAAAGGTAAACCTTGAACAAATGTATCATCAGATTTTTTTTTGCCCTCTTATTATTGTGTTATTTTTTGTATGTGAAGGATCTCATAGAAAAACAAATTACTTTAGCTTTTAATTTTATTGCAAATGTAAATGTATAACTATTGTAATTTTATTTACTTAATCTCTTATTAAAATGCTAACAGGATATTTTAGTATGAACCTACCTTATTAACCTAATCCTAACTTTTCAGCATTATTGATCTTTTATTTGCTTGTTTGTAAGATTTGTAATGTATAGATCAGCCATTATGTTTTTGTTGAGGCATTAAATAAGTACTCTAGAAAGATTTTTATTCAGCTTCCGGCATTTAACTATATTTTTATACAAATGAAGCTGTGACTCAGTTGTTTTTGCAAAGTTAAATTTTAACTTTGAAAGAAATAAAATATTTTTTTGCAAAGTGAACAATTTAATTTGCTTTTTGCGTTGTGTAAAAACTTGCATATATAATGTCTATTGTTAAAGATGGAGTAGAGGGTAAAATTTATTTTTATTATGGTAACTCAGAATTATTCATAATGGTAATAGAATCAAAGTTAGAAGAGTCAACAAGATTATCTGTGGTGGGGTGGTGAGGAAAGTCATTGGAAGGGGAGATAAACTTAAGTCAACAAAGTTATCTGTGGTGCTCCACGTCATTAGAGAATTTAAGATAAAAATATGTAATACTTTGATAGACTTCATAAACAAATCAACTTAATTAACTTTGAATTGCAGACATGAAAACCTTGCATATAATCTATGTATATAATTCTCTTCTGGGAGACGCTAGAAAACAAGCTGTAAGCGTGCTCCCTACCACCCCACCCCTACATGGTCTGGTGAGTTGTGGTTCAAGCTATGTTTACATTCGTGGAGCCGGGTTTAGTGACGGCTATTATTAGGGGCAGATAATTTAGTTTGAAACGATTTTAAACTTAGAGGAGGTAACTAAGAGGAGGCTGCTTTCGCGGGGGGGGGGGGTGTTAGTGTTTTAAAGCAAATATTTTCAGTGGCAGCATTGGTACTGTCGAATTCACAAATTATGAATTACTGAAAAGTAGAGAGAAAAAACAATTAAATAGCTGCGTATAGTATGCCGCGGGTCTGCTCGTATAAAATATTTAAGTTAGGCTGCTAATATAAATTTACATATAGATAAAAATGATTGAGGAGTTAAAGACACAGACAGCCACCTTCAGGTCAAGATATAGTTGTAAGAAACAAATGAGTAACTTAAATAGCAGCAGTTTTATATTTGAGTATATACTATAAAAGCAGTGAAGTACCCAATGCTTTAAGAGGGGGGGGGGGGGGGCACGAACACGACCATATTTGTTAACTTAACCTCTCACCTTTCCCAATTTAAAAGACACTATTCAATACCAACAAAGAAAACTCATATAAAACTACTACCTTTAAAAAAAACAACGGCAGAGTTGCGAAAGATTTTATTTAAACATTCATGTACAGTATAACATTTTTATATTTTATTGAGCAACATTTTTATATTTTATTGAGCAACATTTTTATATTTTATTGAGCAACATTTTTATATTTTATTGAGCAACATTTTTATATTTTATTGAGCATAACAATAACATAGCATTACAATCAAATATAACATTCTTAATCTGTGTACTCATCTGTGTACACAGTCTGATTATTCTTCCATTCAAATTAGTTTTTTCATAAGCTACCTGCCTGTTTAATTAAATATAAAATTATAAAACACCTAATTACAGGTTATAATGGTTTTATTGCTTCATAATAATAATAATATCAATTTTAAGTACATTATGAAAGACAAAACTCATCTCTGTTTATATCATTACATAAAATAAAAAGGCATTGAAATTAAATGCAAGTTCAATAAGACTAGCACTTTGTTAAAGCAGATATTTATTTTTTTGACTGAAGATTTCTTTTTAAAAACTCCAAAATTCTGGGCCAACTGTCTTCTTGTGCTATGCTATGGGAGACATCATCACCTCCCCAAAGACATTTTATATCTATAAAAAAGTAATTTAGTAATTAAATCATTTATTCCTGTTGTAAAAAAAAAAATTGAAAGTTACCATCATGCAAACAAAACATTGTTAAGTAATGGTTTCTTTCAAACCTAAAGGTACTTAAATTATCAGTTCTCTAAATCAGCGTATGAGGGGGTCAGCAGTTTACCCAGCCACCTTCACTGACCCCAACTATACAGATCCCATTAGACGGTTGGGTAAGGGACACTGACCCCAACTGCAGATCCCATTAGAGTTCAGTTGTGTAAAGGACACTGACCCCAACTGCAGATCCCATTAGAGTTCAGTTGTGTAAAGGACACAGACCCCAACTGCAGATCCCATTAGAGTTCAGTTGTGTAAGGGACACTGATCCCAACTACACAGATCCCATTAGAGTTTGGTACTGTAAAGGACATTGACCCTAACTGCAGATCCCATTAGAGTTCAGTTGTGTAAGGGACACTGATCCCAACTACACAGATCCCATTAGAGTTTGGTACTGTAAAGGACATTGACCCTAACTGCAGATCCCATTACAGTTCAGTTGTGTAAGGGACACTGATCCCAACTACACAGATCCCATTAGAGTTCAGTTGTGTAAGGGGCACCTGGATTAGCCATGAAATTCTCCACTTACCAAACATTTTGTTATAGCTGACTTTACACAGTGGCGCATAGGGTGGCTCCAGTAGGTGGCCAGCACCTGGGTATCTGAGAAATGTGTAGTTCTCTCTCAAGTCCTCTGGTACATTGTTTTCAAGCACATCTAACATTATGGGGTTAACACATTGGTCGTCTAGCCCATGAATGGCTAACACTTTTGCTCCATTTACCCATCCCTATTGAAAGAGATATTTTAAATACATATCAGCATTAGGTTACTTAAAAAAATTGTTACTAAAAATAAAAATGTTGGCACATATTTCAAAATTAGAGGCTATTTTCAACTATATTAATTGTTTCTAGAAAAAAATTGTAATAAATCATTAAGTAAGCAGAATCCAGGATTAAAAGCACAGGATTGAACTTCAGCTTTGGGCACAATTATGAGTCAAACTTTATGGTCCAATTAAAAATGGAACTTGAACACAGTTCTACTTGTGAATTACACACATCATCAGATATCCAATAAACATGAATGAGCTAAAAAAAAAAAGCTTTAACCTTGGTGAATCATACACACTGTTAGTTATCTCTAGCAGAAATGTATCATTTTACAGCTCATATAGGGAAATAATAATATCAAATGCGTTATTTTATTAAATGCATTTCTGGCAACTTCTGTTACTGTATACTGATGGTGAAACCATAAGGTCTCTATGCCTTTTGGCTAACCTCTATAATTAAATGATGATCAAGCATCTGTAAGAAATCTGGACAGATAAAGCTAAAACTGGCTGGGAGTAACTAAGAAAATCAGCGCACACATTTCTCAGAAGAAATGAAAACTAACTAGATGTACTTAGCTAATGTATGTAAATAAAATCAAGCTACCTTGACATCATCATCTCCCAGTGTCACATCTTCCAGCTGGTACATATAGCTAAACACAAAACAATCATCCACAATCTTAACGTCATCTATGTTTTTGGTGGAACTAGTGGTGACCGTTACCCCCTCAACTGTTTGTTTCCTGCCGAAAATCTTCACTCCTGAATTGATTGTCACAAAGCATTTCATCTGGTAGTAGATTTGAAATTTTCATTGAAAATATTTTTAAAAAATATATATAGCCTGTTTTTGTTTTTCACAAAAATTTAAATTTTTTTAGAATAGCATTTTTTAAAAATAATTTGCATTATCATTATTAATGACTTCAGAAGCAGCTCCATTAGGGCTAAACTTAAACTTTAGTATATTATTTTTTAAAGGTATCAAATCTAATTTTAGCATTATTTACCGCTGGTCTTCTGGATGCGATGAGTCTTACATAGCCCCCACCCACACATGTGCTAATACCACCCAGATTTTTTGAGTCAATCAACGAGTTTGATGCCAGCCAATCAAATGCTTTCTAGAGATAGAAATGATAATGAAAATTAAATATGCATAAGTTCAAAAAATATACAACCTTGCTCTATATACATTTACTACAAAATGAAACAAAAGTATGTTTGCAGTCTAATATAATTGCAATTATTACAATCACAAAGATAAATGATGTTTTAACTTGACATCTTTAATGAAACTATGTGAAGCTCTTATTTATTACAGAAAATTTATTTTTTTGACTTATGAAAATAACATTACTGAGTGCTAGTTAGTGGTGATTCAAAATATAAATTTATCAAGATTTATCTAACATTTTGATACGAATTACAATATAAACCATCTACAAATGTATATACAAAAGCTTCCATCAAAAGAATTTCTGTAAGTTTAATCTTAAAACATTATATAAGTGTAGAAAGTAGGGAAAAAACAACTGTCTTGACCAACCAAAAAATATGTGAAGTCCAGTTGCTGTTCATTCTGTGGCAGACCTGGGAGACCATAATAAGCAAGAGCAAAGGATGCAATGCCATGAGACGCCAGCAGCGCAGATCGAAACTCAATATTGCTAGCCCCACCCATACCAAAAACATCTATAACACCTGGAAATGGACCTTCGCCTGAAAATTGTAAACAATGAAAATTTTCAATTCAAATTTTCAGGGGAAAGAAAAAAAATTTTAAGTTCCCCTTTCAAACCTGATGGTCTATGGGGCAAGTGAAGTAGAGTTCCCCTGTTTCTGTGACCTCGACATATGAAGGGATAGTATGGTCAGCACTATGCCCAGCCGGCTTTACATTCCCTAACAAAAGTTAGGTATCCATCAGAGCTGGGTGGACTCAGGGACCGTCTACTGACTTGAACCCGGAATCAACTCGAGACTTACGGGTTGTCAACATTTTTTTATCCTGCATGCAATTTGCCAATAATTATTTTAGCACAAAGTAATATGTCTACATAAATATAAATATAAGAAAATACACATCAAAATAATGTATCTGCTACACATACTACATGGGATGACGTGGTCAAGAGTTATAGCCCATGATTTACTAACCCAAATGACTCAAGATTTTTTCCTGACCTTGAGTTCCTGTGTTCACCCAGTTGTGATTGGTACTTTAATCCATTCAAGAAAAAGTAATGGCAATCTACCACAGTGCTGAACACATAATACCTCTATATGTCTAAGTCAGCGTAACCAATGAACTCTATTTGATATGCCCCTTAAACCCTCAATGAAATTATACTATATTTGTTTTTTTGTTTTTTTACCCATAAAAGTTTACTGAACTATTTTATGAAATGTTACTAAAAAATAAAATTGCTCAAATGAGATCTTCAGATACAGACTCACCAGGGGGAACAAACAATGTTCCATAAATTCCATTTTCTCTGACAGGAAACCTCCTCACCCCTGGGGCTGTGTAGGAGCGTAACAGCACACAGGACACCAGGCAGGGCAGTTGGTCTGACCAAGACAGCTGATTGAACTTTATGAACCCATCATGAACTGCCAGCGTGACCTCATAAGGAGTCATGACATCAGATTTAATAAGTCTGCCTGGTTTAATGCCAGGGGTTGTTGATGCTGATGTAAACAAACCCATTGGGTTCAGACCTATTGGGAGAAAGAAAAATAATTCTATTTAAATCCTGAAACATTAAAATCAAATGGGAATAAATTATGGGTTGTTTTTTTTTGTATATTCTTCTATTTGATCCTTAAACTGTACTGGATTAAGAGCAACTGGGAATAAATATGATTTTATATCCTAATCTATTAAATTGAATCCTGAACCATCACTAACAAAGTCTTTATATAAAAATAAATCCCAGCATTAAATTAACGATTTGTATTTATAATAATAACTTTATTAACTTAATTGATGTTATTATAAAAATAACTAACATTAGTTTTTCTTCTAATAATGTTCAGTGACTATTCACACACACCACTGACCATAAAGAAATGTAACAACTTAGTTTTTTTTAAATTTACTCAAAGCAGAAATAGTTTTATAATTATCTCCTCTAGTTCCATTATAACTTTCAAATGTTTACATTTTTTTTTTACCCATATCAATTTTTTAATAATAGGTAATAATAATTAGGCTAATAAACTTTCCAAAAATAAAAGTGTGTTTGGCAGACAAATACATTTTTATTTAGTGCATTTATAATAAAACTATCAACTTCAAGTCATCTATAACTTATTATCTAAACTAATATACAGTACAAATTTAATATAGAATCTACCAGAGTAGGTTC